AACGTGGTGGGGGGGTGGGTGGAAATTGGTATATTATATAGGAAAATGGAAACATATGTGATACTCGTTGTATTTCTACATAGAAAATAATGCGTTGGTCGGTTCGGTCAGTATGCACGCTTGTGTGTAGGTACAAGGCGTAGCTGAAACTCTAAAATCTCCCAAATTATGTGGATCGAAAAGGTTAGAACCTAGTATTATTAAAATACAAGGCCTAATCTAGTAGACTGGCAAGAAAATTGTACTAAATGTCTTTGCAAATATAAGTAATGCGCTGGTCAGTTTGGTCAGCATGCGCGCCTGTAGTACAGGTACCATGCACGTTTGGAATGTCTATATCTGTCAAATTATGTAGATCTAAATAAAAGATTAGAACGTGGTAGGGGGGTGGGGAGTGGTATAATATAATGGAAAACGGAAACATATGTGATACTCGTTGTATTTCTACATAGAAAATAATGCGTTGGTCGGTTCGGTCACTATGCACGCTTGTGTGCAGGTACAAGGCGTAGCTGAAACTCTGAAATCTCCCAAATTATGTGGATCGAAAAGGTTAGAACCTAGTATTATTAAAATACAAGGCCTAATCTAGTAGACTGGCAAGAAAATGGTACTAAATGTCTTTGCAAATATAAGTAATGCGCTGGTCAGTTTGGTTTGCATGCGCGCCTGTAGTACAGGTACCATGCACGTTTGGAATGTCTATGTCGGTCAAATTATGTAGATCTAAGAGGTTAAAACGTGGTGGAGGGGTGGGGAATGGTATATTATATTGGAAAACGGAAACATATGTGATACTCGTTGTATTTCTACATAGAAAATAATGCGTTGGTCAGTTCTGTCAGAATGTTATATTTGTCTAGCCTGCAGTGGGGTACTCTATAGCGAGTACAACCCTTCTAGGGTTTGCTATTTGTATCCCCATTCTTGCTAGTTCAACCCTCTCTCTTTTGCCTAATTCTCTCGACATGCTATCAGAGCAGGTCGACCCTCCTGGGTCGATCCTGTGGGTGGGCCCACCACCTAATGCTTCCGCTGCTGTACTTCCTGCCGGGCGCCTCGGGCGCGCGACGACTTCTTCCTGCCGCGCGCGGAGCGCGCGGCGAATTTTTTCTAGGGTTTCGGCGGTTTTCATCCCGCCGTGCGCTCGGGGCGCGCGGCGGTTTTCTGCACGCCGTGCGCCCCGAGGCGCGCGGCGGTTTCCCACCGTCGAAGCGCCCTCCCCCCGTCGCCGTCGACCCCCCGCGTCGCCCCGCAGCCCCGCGCGTCGCCCCCGACGTCTCGTCGCGACACCTTGGGGAGCCGCGCGCGGCCCCCCGCTACCTCGTCGCGACGCCGTGGGGAGCTGCGCGCGGCCCCCGCTGCCTCGTCGCGACGCCTTAGGGAGCCGCGCGCGGCCCCCCGCTGCCCCGTCGAGGCGCCCTGGGGAGCCGCGCGCGGCCCCCGCTGCCCAGAGGTGGCGCCCTGGGGGTCGCGCGCCTTCCCCCTCGCCGTCCCCCGCGCTCCTTCTCCCTTTCGCCCGTTTTAGGGTTTGGGGGTGGGGAGTGTGGGGGTGGCGGCTGTGGGGGTGTCGGTTGTGCGTTACTCTACCTACTCCTCCTCCTCCCTAGTCTCCCTCTACTGCAGCTGCCGCTGAGGGGGGTGGTGTGTGGGAGTCTAGGGTTTGGGGTTTAAGGGGGGGTACCGTGGGAGTGGAGCTAGGGGTGAAGCAAGGGGTGTGTGTCGAGGGGTGTGGGACTGTTGGGGGAGGTTGAGCGGAGACTGCCGTCGTGTCGTCCGCAGCACCTGTATTCCGGGGTTCCGCGGACCTCCGGTAGCTCAGAGAGCCGGCTGCACCTGTCGCCCGTGGGTCCGCTGCACCCTCCGCAGCGACTATTACCCCTGTAGTCCGGGGCTCTGCTTCCGGTAGCCACTAGCGTTGCGCCAGAGCCGTCTGATGCCCGTGTGTCTGCAGCTTCAGTCGTCGCCTCCACTCCTTTCTCCTCTCGCCAGCCCTCCTCCTCCTCATTTGTCCTCTGTGACCGCCTCTAGCTTTGCTCATAACTTATAAACTGTTGCTTCTTGAACTTGTGCTCAGAATGTGTGGTGACATCGTGATCCACCCTGAGCTTGTACTGCTTTGCTTGCTCTGCTGATTACACCCCACTTTGGCTATGGGGGTGTGTCAGAATGTTATATTTGTCTAGCCTGCAGTGGGGTACTCTATAGCGAGTACAACCCTTCTAGGGTTTGCTATTTGTATCCCCATTCTTGCTAGTTCAACCCTCTCTCTTTTGCCTAATTCTCTCGACAAGTTCGGTCAGTATGCACGCTTGTGTGCAGGTACAAGGCGTAGCTGAAACTCTGAAATCTCCCAAATTATGTGGATCGAAAAGGTTAGAACCTAGTATTATTAAAATACAAGGCATAATCTAGTCGACTGACAAGAAAATGGTACTAAATGTTTCTGCAAGTAAAAGTAATGCGCGGGTCAGTTTGGTCAGCATGCGCGCCTGTAGTACAGGTACCATGCACGTTTGGAATGTCTATATCTGTCAAATTATGTAGATCTAAACGGTTAAAACGTGGTGGGGGGGTGGGGAATGGTATATTATATAGGAAAAGGGAAACATATGTGATACTCGTTGTATTTCTATAGAGAAAATAATGCGTTGGTCGGTTCGGTCAGTATGCACGCATGCGAACAGGTACAAGGCGGAGCTGAAACTCTGAAATCTCCCAAATTATGTGGATTGGAAAGGTTAGAACCTAGTGTTATTAAAATACAAGGCCTAATCTAGTAGACTGGCAAGAAAATGGCACTTATTGTCTCCACAAACATAGGTAATGCGTTGGTCAGTTTGGTCGGCATGCGCGCATGAATTTCAGGTACTATGCACATTTGGAATGCCTACATCTGTCGAATCATTTAGATTCAAAAGGTTAGAACGTGGTAGAGGGGTGCGGAATGGTATACTATAATGGAAAAGGGAAAAATATGTGGTACTCACTGTATTTCTACAGAGAAAGTAATGCGTTGGTCGGTTCGGTCAGTATGCACGCATGCGCTGGTCAGTTTGGTCGGTATGCGCGCCTGTAGTGCATGTACCATGTACGACTGGAATGTCTATATTCGCCAAATTACATAGATCCGGTAGGTTAAAATGTGGTAGGGGGGTAGGGAATGGTATAATTTAAAGGAAATGGGAATACATATGGTATTCACAGTATTTGTACAGAGAGAATAATGTATAGATGGAATGTAGAGCACCTGCTGCACTTCCTGCACATGTGCGGATCCTTCCGTGTTTTGGGGCTGGAAGCGCTCGTTCCGAGCGTTTTTCTTCCGCCGAGTCACGTGGCCGCGCTCTTTTGGGCCTATTACCAAGCCAACAAGGGCATGGGAGGGTGGCGAGCATCATCGAAAACTAGTGCTCGCGAATGAAGAGTGCCCGCTGCACTTCTTGCACATGTGCGGATCCTTCCGCACATTGGGGCTGGAAGCGCTCGTTTTGAGCGTTTTTCTTCTGTCGGGCCACGTCTCTGCGCTCGTCTGTAATCTAGAAAAACTTAATAAAGCGCTTCTCACTATTTGAGATTTGGATGAGCGCCTATTTCCAAGCCAGCAAGGGCGTGGGAGGGTTGCGAGCATCATCGATCATCAGTGCTCGCGAATGGAGAGTGCCCGCAGCATTTCCTGCACATGTGTGGATCCTTCTGTGTTTAAGGGCCGAAAGAGCTTGTTCCAAGCGTTTTTCTTCAGCCGGGTCACGTGCGCTCGTCTGGGCCTGCTACCAAGCTAGCAAGGGTGTGGGAGGGCTGAGAGCTTCATTTGTCATTGGTGCTCGCAAATGAAGAGCGCCCGTTGCACTTCCTGCACATGTGCGGATCCTTCCGCGTTTTGGGGCTAGGAGGAAGCATCCGTTCCTAGCGTTTTTCTTCCGCTGGGACATGTAGTTGCGCTCGTCTGGGCCCATTACCAAGCCAGCAAGGGCGTGGGAGGATTGCGAGCATCATCGGTCATTGGTGCTCGCGAATAAAGTGCGCCCCTGCATTTCCTGCACATGCGCGGATCCTTCCGCGTTTTGGGGTTGGGAGCGCTCGTTCCGAGCTTTTTTTCTTCCGCAGGGTCACGTGGCAGCGCGCGTCTGGGCCTATTACCAGCAAGGGCATGGGAGGGTGGCGAGCATAATCGGTAATCGATTATCGCGAATAAAGAGCGTCCGCTGCATTTCCTGCACATGTGGAAAAAGCATCGAACGACCTGAATATTTTTTTATATTAGGGTGGCCCATGCTCGAATAGACATATCCGAGCAATTTCAACTTGAGGCGGGGCGCCAAAGGAAGGCGCGCGCGGAGAGACCCGCATCCCGTGCATGCGAAGGGCGCGTACAGGCGTGGCGGAGGCAGTGAAATGGCCGAGGAGGAGGCGGCAGAGTCGGGTGAAAGGGAGCAGGCGCGAGGTAGAGGACGCGAGTGAGTACATCCATGTTGTGTAGGTGGCGGGAGGCGCAAACGGCCGCAGTCTATATAATGCACTGCACGCGGCTGTGATACTGGCAACTTGCAGCAAGTGACGACTGGCCGAAGGGCGTTGTGGCAGGATGCGTGGTGTCGCCATTGGATAAGCAATGGTCAAGGACAGTGAGCGACCAGCACTGCTCCCGCTTCTGAACTCGGCAAAGTATCCGAATCGAGTGGAGTGAACCGACACACTACCCGTGCAAAATTTGCCCTTGGACCTGCCAAGCCCTTCAAGCTCGAGACACTTGCAATGGTTCCCCCCTTCGTGGGTATCACATTTCATTCCAGCTTGTCATGTTGCATATTGGAATGCTTTTCTGTTTGTCTTGTAATGCTCAAATTTGTGATGTTTACACCACAAGCTTTTTATGAAACCAGGGTGGCTTCTATATAGCGCCAGAGTTCGGCTTGCTATGTCGTGATTTGCGTGCTAGGGTGACGGACAATACCTAGATCGTAGGGGTGGATGTTTGCTTGCCATCATGAGCAACCACAATGCAACTTCGGCCTGTTGGCTCCCTGGGAACACATCTTTTTAATCTACTGTTATTCTCTTCGTGTATGGCCGCGCGGCGGGACGCGAGGTGCGAGAGCGCGATGCTGCGAGTGTTGGCGCTCGCACTGGCTACGGCCGCCAGCGTGACGGTTCCGTGCTCCGGCGCCGTCACGAATGAAACGCAAGGTAGGCGCACAGGGCACGGGAGAGCGGCACGGTATGTGCACGGTGAGTGCCGTTTCGCGGTGCTGCTCGTCCGTCAACAACGCCCTGCCCTTTCCGCTTGTTGTCGCCCACTCGCGCCCTTTGCCGCGCGTGTTTCCCCTTGCCCTGGGCGTGCATGGCTGGGTGACAGCTCTGAGGAGCATGGCGGCACAGTGGCAGGCAGGTGCGGCGCTGGCGTCGTGGCAGGTGTACGATGTGTGTGCTGTGGCAGGAGGTGCCACCGGTATCACATGCCAGGACGGATCCGTCACCGCCCTGTGAGCCCCGCCCGCCCCCTCCCTCTCAATCAACTCCTCAACGCCCTCCGTCGTGCATATCGCGCTCCCTTCCGTGCGTTCTGTAGCGACCGACAATAGGCAGTTGGAAAACCCCCGCGCACTGCTTCAATGCTTGGCTCCGTTGATCGCTCCATGCATCACGCTGGAGAGCACCGTAACATTACGTGCACCATAGGCTGCTCCGCACCTCGTGCCCCCGTGTGCCTGCGTGACCGCAAGGCTCTCCTCATTATGTCGCTGCCATGCTGCCGTGCTGCCGTGCTGCCGTGCTGTGTTGGTGGGTGTGTTGGGGCGTGCAGGTCACTGAGCAGGACAACCCTGTCAGGGCCGCTGCCAGGGGAGATAGGCGTCCTCACAGCACTCACTCTCCTGTCAGTGCGCACTACTTTCTCTCTCAGCTGCTTTCTCTCCACCATCTCTCGCTGCCGGCCAACCTTGTTTCATCCCACCTCGCCCTCCCTGTTGCTGCGTCAGTAAATTCAATGACAGCTCCTTGCGCTGCCCTCACCTCATCATGCCTGCATGCACGCATTCCCACTGCTGCACGCCGCACCGCGCTTGAAAACCCCCACGCAGCGTGTGACTCTGTTGGTCGCTCATGCATGACATGACTCTGTCAATCAGGGCACCCGTGCGTGACAGTACGTGCACCACAGGGTGCTCGCCATCTACCTCGCACCCCCGTTTGCAAAGAAGACGCCAAGGCTCTTTCCATTGTGTCTCTGCCATGCTGCCGTGCTGCCGTGCTGTGTTGGTTGGTGTGTGTTGGGGCGTGCAGGTCACTGAGCAGGACAAACCTATCGGGCCCTCTGCCTGGGGAGATAGGCGACCTCACAGCACTCACTCTCCTGTCAGTGCGCACTACCTGCTCTCATAACCCACCATGTGCACTGCGTCCTGACAGCACTTCTCTCCTGCAACCAGCCGTGTTTCATGCCTGCTCTTCCTCCCATGCTACTGCTCCATTTGATGTGTGCACGCATTTCCATCACTGTACGCTTCACCTCGCCCATTGCTGTGTTTTGGCCTTGTTGCACCCTGTATGGTGCATGGTGCATGGTGCAGGGACCTGAGCTACAACAGCCTCAATAACGCCATTCCTTACAGCATCGGCAACCTTGCCAGATTGCAATCGCTGTATGCCCGCACACCTCTCTTGCACCTGGACCCTCTCAACTGCATGCTCCCACACAACACCGCATGCATCTGCTTCGCCTGCGCCACTGTGCCCATCGTCCGCCCTCGTGCCCCCGCAACCATGTGCCTCACCACTTCCACCGCCCTCGTGCCCCCGCGGCCATGTGCCTCACCACTTCTACCACCCTCGTGCCCCCGCGGCCATGTGCCTCACCACTTCCACCGCCCTCGTGCCCCCGCGGCCATGTGCCTCACCACTTCCACCGCCCTCGTGCCCCCGCGGCCATGTGCCTCACCACTTCCACCGCCCTCGTGCCCCCGCGGCCATGTGCCTCACCACTTCCACCACTGTGCACTGCCATGCGGTGGTGCTGGGGTGCAGGGTGCTGAAGAGCAACGCCTTCAATGGATCCCTGCCCGACGCCCTCTCCGGCCTCTCCAGCCTTCTTCAATTGTCCGTGATGTCATGTGCCCTCACTCTCATGCACACTCTCACACGTGCGCACACTCACATGCACACACTCACATGCACACACTCATATGCACACACTCACATGCTCACACTCACATGCACACGCACGCAGACTCACACACACACACACACACACACACACACACACCATGCACCCATGCACACATACTCGCACAGCACACTGACATGCTTACTCCTCACTTTCTATTCCGACCTCTACTTACTTCATCCTGTCTCCTGCCCAGTATCTCCTTCAGTAGACACCATGGTTCTGCATCGCGATGCTGCCATTCATCCTCCCTGTGGCGACTGTCCTTTCATGTGTGCATGGCCATGTGTGCATAAGCGTGTGTGAATGTGCATGTGCATGTGTGCATGTGCATTTGTGCATGTGCATGTGTGGATGTGCATGTGTGCATGCCCATGTGCGCATGTGCATGTGTGCATGGTCATGTGTGCATGGTCATGTGTGCATGGTCATGTGTGCATGGGGCGTGGGTGCACACAGAGATGTGCAGCGCAATGTCTTCAGTGGCTCCTTGCCTTTCTCACTCTTCTCCCTCACCACCCTCAGCAGCCTGTAATGTTCTTACCTATCTCGTCAACTCTCCTGGTGATTTCACTAACTCTTTCCTCTTACAATACCTCTCTGTGATTCTCTTCAACTTCCTCTTACTCCTCCTCCCCCCCCCCCCCCCCCCCTCCTCCTCCTCCTCCTCCTCCTCCTCCTCCTCCTCCTCCTCCTCCTCCTCCTCCTCCTCCTCCTCCTCCTCCTTCTCCTCCTCCTCCTCCTCCTTCTCCTCCTCCTCCTTCTCCTCCTCCTCCTCCTCCTCCTCCGCCTCCTCCTCCTCTCCTTTCTCCGTCTCCTCATGTCTACCCATGGTTATCGCATGGCCTGTGTTCCATGACTGCGCGCCCGGGTCTCCTTGTCACTGTTTTACCTCCTCTTCCATCATGTGTGGGTTCATATCCATGTGTCCTCCTGCCACTCTCTCGCCTGCCGCGCCTCTGTGTGCAGCTACATGGACGGCAATCAGCTGTCCGGCACCTTGCCCTCCCAAGTGGGCGCGCTCACCAACCTCTTCACACTGTCCGTTGCATCCTCTCATCGCCATGCCATGACATGCCATGCCATGCCATGCATGCCGCTGTCTCTTTAACATCTTTCTTCCTCTCTGCCACCTGTGTGACTTGTGCACCCTCTATCTTCCAGTGCATTAATCCCCTCGGCATACATTCGTATGGTGTCTCTCATGTTCGTCCCCCCCCTCCCTGGGCAGTCAGGTGAGCAACAACAAGTTGAATGGCTCCCCCCCGGCTACACTCAGCCTGCTCTCCTCCCTTCATGAGCTGTATGGCCCCACCTCCCTCCCACTGCACCCATGCACCTCACACTGCACCCATGCACCTCACACTGCACCCATGCACCTCCCACTGCACCCATGCACCTCCCACTGCACCCATGCACCTCCCACTGCACCCATGCACCTCACACTGCACCCATGCACCGCACACTGCACCCATGCACCTCCCACTGCACCCATGCACCTCCTACTGCACCCATGCACCTCCCACTGCACCCATGCACCTCCCACTGCACCCATGCACCTCCCACTGCACCCATGCACCTCCCACTGCACCCATGCACCTCCCACTGCACCCATGCACCTCACACTGCACCCATGCACCTCACACTGCACCCATGCACCTCCCACTGCACCCATGCACCTCCTACTGCACCCATGCACCTCCCACTGCACCCATGCACCTCACACTGCACCCATGCACCTCCCACTGCACCCATGCACCTCACGCTACACCCATGCACCTCACGCTGCACCCATGCACCTCACGCTGCACCCATGCACCTCACGCTGCACCCATGTACCGTGCTGGCGGCATGGTGGATGAGCATTGCGTGTCCCTTGTGCATGGCACAACACCCACCCTGCCATGCATGTGTACCCCATGCACCTCACTTCACACCCGTCTCTCCTTCAACCTCATTTCCGTCTCTCCTCTCTGCACTGCCGCCCTGACCCATGCAGGCAGATGAACAAGAATAGCTTCTCAGGGCCCTTCCCCTCGGTCGTCACCGCCCTCACCAACCTCACCATGATGTACCCACCCGCCACCCCTCCCCTCTCTTTGCTGCCCACGCCCTGGCTCATGCCGCGCCACGGAGCAAGCACTACTGCTGTGTCACTGTGTCCACTGCGGTTGTCCTAGGTGTTATGGTTCTGTGGTGCTGAATGATTGTGTGGATTGCAACAAGGTTATCAGTATCGTTGTGTGCACGGAAACAAGCGACACTCACACTGCTGGTGCAGAGCTGAACGCTGCATGTCAGCAATAGTGAGTTGGTAATTGCTGCCACCTCTCTCTGCTTGCTCTGCTCCTCTGTTTCCATCTCTGTCAGACTGCCTTCTGTGCTAATATGGAGGTTGGTGCAAAGGAACAAACAAGCAGGCTGTGGACACACAACACACACACACACACACACACACACTCACACACACACTCACTCCCGCTCTCTCAAGATCTCCCTCTCTCCCTCCCGCCCTCACAGCTATGCCAGCAACAACTCGTTCGTGGGGCCTTTTCCTGCGTTTCTTGGGGACATGACTCATCTCGCGTTCCTGTAACCCGTCCTTCCAAGCTCCCATGCATGCATGCTCCCTTGCAACCATGCATCCATGCATGCATGCTCCTGTGCAGTCAGCGGGATGGCTCCATGCATCAATGCACCCATGTCCCACGCTCCAATGCACGTGCATGCACCACCACGATCGCTATCAACCCTGGCACATACATGCAGTGAAGTGAAGGAGGCAATCATGGATACCACATGCACATGTTAGCATGGGAACATGCCAGCGCCTTCAATGTTTTTCCACCCTCACTCTGCTCCTCCCTCACTCTGCTCCTCCCTCACTCTGCTCCTCCCTCACTCTGCTCCTCCCTCACTCTGCTCCTCCCTCACTCTGCTCCTCCCTCACTCTGCTCCTCCCTCACTCTGCTCCTCCCTCACTCTGCTCCTCCCTCACTCTGCTCCTCCCTCGCTCTGCTCCTCTCTCGCTGTGCTATCACCTCTCTCACATGTGTACTGGCATCAGGAAGATCTATTCCAACAAGCTCCGAGGCACGCTGCCTCAGAGCTACAGCCAGCTGCGCAACCTCACCCACCTGTATGACGCTGCTTGCCCCGCCTCACCACCCTCTGCCCCTCGCTTGCTTGCCCTCATTGGCCACCCACCCTCCTTGTGTGCGGCCATTCAGCCAGTCGTTCCCACACTCCATGTCATATGCTCCATCCATCTTCGCCTCACATGCTATGCTGCTCTCTCCTGCCGCCCTCCCCTTTTGCGTATGCTCCCCCCTGCACACTCCCCTGCGGCGCAGCGACCTGAGGGACATGCAGCTGTACGGCGCGCTGCCCACGTGGCTGGGGCTGCTCACGCGCATGCAGTACCTGTACGTGCCGCCCAGGGGACACACCAGGGCGCGCTGGGGAGGCAGGGCGAGGGGCGTGTGAGGGGAGGGAGGCAGGGGAGAAGAGATAGAGGAAGCAGGGTTGATGTACGCCAAGTAACAAATCGATTATTGTTCCTCAAGCCATGTGCTGTTTCTCTTGTCATGTTGCATCGGTGTGCTGCTGTGTGCTGCTGTGTGCTGCTGTGCTGCGTGCCCTCAGGCATTTCCGCAACAACGATCTGTCTGGGGCGGTGCCGGAGTCCATGGGGAACCTCACCAACCTCATTGAGATGTCAGTCGTACCCACACACGCACTACACCGCATGTACACCGCACCATGTGTGTCTGCACCATGCTTATGCCTCACACTGTCGTGCACACCCCGCTGCACTGCCTGCTCTGCTGCCAGGCACGGTATCACCGTGCATCCCATGGACTGCCACCCTGCCCTTGTGCTGCGCCGCTCCCCCCCTGCATGGCAGCTCGCTCATTGGCAACCCCAAGCTCAACGGCACACTGCCTGCGTGCTGGGCCAACATCATCTCCCTGGGTACCATGTGCGCCCCTCGCCTGCAACCACCGCCACTGCCTCTTCTTCCTCTCCCCGTCCCGCCCCTTCCCGTGTTCGCAACTCACCGCTTCCCCTATTAGCGCAAGAGCTCTTGTTCGTGCAGTGTGATCCGCCTTCACCCCATCCGTGCACGCTCCGTTGCACGCGTGCCTCTTCTCAACCCTTCACTCCCGCCACTGCCCCCATGCCCTGCCCCGCCCCTCTGTGCGCCCCTGCCAGTGCGGCATCGCGCCTTCAATTCGCCTGCCCGTCGCCCAACATGTGCTGCCCCACGGGCAGCCCCATCCAGGACCTGCCCTTCTGTGTCAACTTCTGCCCCCAGTACTGCTCCGCCTGTGCTCCAGGTACGCGCGCCTTACCCTTCCCAGTGTGCTCCACTTCCCTCTCCGCACGTTTGTCTTGTGCTTGTCTCGCCCCTGCCACACCTCAATTGCTTGCGCCTTGCGTGACTTTGTGTGTTCTGCCTACTCCCCGCACAGGCATGTCGCCGGCAGTGATAGCAGGGATTGCAGTGGGGTGCTCCGTGGCGCTGCTGGCAGTGCTGGCTCTCGCACTCTACATCTGGTACTACAGATTCGGCCCAGGCCGCATACAGGGTCAGCGCTGCTCTCTGCTTTCCCCCATACCTCTCCATCCTCTCACTTACTTGACTCGGATCATCATTCTCTCGTTACATCTTGCAAATATGCTATGATGGTGTATAGAGTTAGCCACCCAAACTTAGTTTGGGTGTACAACAACTTTTTGTCCTAATTGGTGTTGCCATCCCAACCTTTGCTCAAAATTGTCGTATCTGTAAGGTTGGATTGGAGACCAGTGGAAGCCTCCAATAAATTCTAAACCCAACTTGTTAGCGGGGCCCAATAATCTTGGTCAAGAACCCAGCAACTTCTCCTTTTCCTTCCACTACTACATATACCTTCTTGTTCTTTTGAAGCTAATGTTTTACTCTTACTTTGTCTCTCAAGCATTGTTGTCATGCAAGCCCAAACCTTGCTCTCGTGTTGCTCCTTGCCCCAATGTGCTTGTGTGCGTGCATGTGTGGGCGTGGCAGCATGGGAGCGGGAGTTGGACCGGGGCTTTCGCAAGTACACGTGGAGGGAGATCATGGATGCCACGGACAGCTTCAGCGAGGCCAGGAAGCTGGGCAAGGGGGGCTTTGGCACCGTGTACCTGGGGCAGGGCGATGCACCGCACCAGCTCATCGCCGTGAAGCATGCCGCCTTTGTGGAGCGCTCCTCCAAGATAGCCACCATGTTCGAGGAGGAGGTGCGCCCTGCTCCCCATGCACTCCATTCTTTAGTGCAGTCCACCATCTTTTCCTGTTGCTGCTTCCCCCCTCACCTTGAGAACGTGTGAATGCCCGTACATGTGGGGGTGCAGGTGAAGGCGGTGTCGCGGCTGCACCACAAGAACCTGGTGCGGCTGCTGGGCTACTGCAACGACCACATGGAGCAGGTGCTCGTGTACGAGTACGTGCCCAACGGTCCCCTCTCCGACCACCTCTACGGCACCATCAAAGGCAAGCCCTCCACCACGCATCCTCCTCTCGCCTCATCTGCTTCCTCTCAGTTTCCTCCTCCTCTCACCGCGTCCTGCCATTGCTTGCTCGGCTGCTCATGTCGTGCCTGGCATGTCCTTGTTCCTACCCGTCCCACTGCACCACTCTTTCTGCCGTGTCACTCATCCTCCTGTGTGACGTGATGTGATGCGGTGGCCGTGTGTGTGTGTGTGGGGGTGGGCGGCAGCAGGGCAGCTGCTGTCGTTTGAGCAGCGGGTGGAGGCGGCAATAGGCCTGGCGGAGGGGCTGGTGTATCTGCACAACCACACGGAGCGCCCCACCGTGCACCGTGACATCAAGCCCTCCAACGTGCTGCTCACCCACGACTACCAGGTACGTCCCCGCCCCATTGCCCTCTCCTGCCGCCTGGGTCATGCCCATTAGTGCCATGCTTCCAAGGCCAGTCCCCCTCTGGGCACCGTTCATTAAGAGGCAAGAATTTCTCAGTCTCCAAGTTCCACATTTCACCTCCTCCCTCGTTCATCCCACATTCCATGCACCCACGCTTGTGCGTGTGCATGGGCATGTACATGTGCGTGTGCGTGCGCGCGTGCATGTGCGTGTGGGTGTGCGCGTGCATGTGCATGTGCGTGTGCATGTGCATGGGCGGGCGTGCAGGTGAAGATAGCGGACTTTGGGTTGTTGAGGGAGGTGGGCAAGGAGGAGATGGGCACGTTCACCAAGGTGGCGGGCACGCGGGGCTACATGGACCCCGACTACATGACGCTTGAGATGCTCACCACTCGCAGCGATGTCTACAGGTACCTCACCGATGCATACTACTGCGCTCTCTGTCGCTGCATTCGTGCCTTGTGTCCCTCAACTATCCTTCTGTACTCACCCAGTTGCCCTGCCACTACTCTCATCCCACTGCTCTCTCTACGGGGTCACTCGCACATGTGACTTGGACTCTCCTTGTATTCCACAATGCCTCTTCCTATTGTGCTCTCCTCCCTATTGCTCATTGGCCCGTGTGTGCGTGGTCAGTTTTGGAGTGCTACTGCTGGAGCTGGTGACGGGCAGGGAGGCGATGGAGAGGGATCCAGACGACAAGGACCGGCTGGTGTACATAACCACGGTGGTGCTGCCCTTGGTGGCCTCGCGCCACATCCACCTCATCGTTGACACGCGCATCGCCACGCCGCTCAACCTGCCCGCACTGCTCTCCATGGCTCAGATCGCAGCGCACTGCGTGCAGCAGCCCGCTACCAGGCGCCCCGAGATGGTGGAGGTGGTGAAGGCACTGCATACCGTCAAGAAGACCTACCTCGCCAGCCTCTCCGCTCATGCTGCTCCTGCCACTGCTCCTCCAGGCGTGGATGGATTGCAGGCAGTGAATGAGGAGAGCGCGGCAAGCACTGGTGCGGATGCGCTAGGTATGGCGACTTATGATGAAGCGGCGGCGGGTGATGCAGCATGGGCGGGCGGGTGGTCACGAGGTGCTGTGTGCGTGCAATGTGAACCCCGCCAACGAGGTGGACGTGGCCACGTGGCGCATGGCACACGCCAGCTCTGCCCTCGCAGCCGCGGCAGCGGCACTGATGGAGGCGCGGGCTACAGTGGAGATGGAGGGGCTGCGCAGTGACAGCGAGCGCACGGCAGAGGCGGTGCAGAGCAAGGCGCCCGTGGGGGAGCTGCCGGCAGTGCCACTGCTGGAGCAGCACCGCAAGGGGGGCCGGTCGCAGGAGGGCTCCAGTGAAGGCCGCCGCATGGGTGACTCGGGCAGGTGGGTGGCCAAGTCCTGGGCCGGGGCAAGCAGGCCGTGCTGCATGATGTAAGAACACGGTCGTTGCGCCTCTTGCGGGCTTGTTGGGTGGCAGCTCTTGCGTGCACACTGCTGCTGGAGGCTGTCACTGCTCCTCCTTGGCAGCGGTTGGACACATCTGTTGCGTGCACCTCTGCTGGTGTCCTGCGTGTGTGGTTGGGGAAGCCATACGCACGACCATTGTCACTGGCCTGCGTGTGTGGTCTGCTACCACACCATCCCTTGTCACCCATTCCTCTTCCCCATCCCATCCCATCCCGTCCCATCCCATCCCATCCCATCCCATCGTCTCCTATCCCATCCCACCCAACCCATCCCATGCCCCTGTGCCTCCATGCCCCACCACCCAGCTATCTGCGTTCCAACTGCCTCTACGACCCACTACCAGCTGTCCTCTGGCACCCCTCCCTGCTCACCGATGTGTGAGCCATGTCAAGCTGTGCCATGCCGTTACATGCCATGCCATCTCATGCCATGCCATCGTGCCATGCCATGCCACACCGTGCCCTGCCCTGCCATGCCATGCCGTGCCATTAAACGTTTGATCCCCCCATGCCATGCCATGCCCTGCCATGCATCCCTATCGTGTTATGGCTTGTCATGTGGCAAGTATTTATGGCCCTCTGCTTCACGTCGCCTTTCTCCTTCTCTGCTCTTCCCACCCATCACAGCAGCACCATCAGCAACTTCTCCTGTCCTTTCTGTTTGTTTTCTTCCTTGTTCTTGTCTTGCATTCTATCCCCTCCCCTCCCCCCTCGGCCCCCCCGCCCACAGTGACATCTCAAACAACTTTTTCAGCAGCGTTGTGCCGCTGCCTCCACCTAAACGCCAGGCTGACTTCAGGTGACGTTATGTTGCTCTCAAGGGCTTGCCAGTATCAGGTGAACTTCTGTTGCTATCATATTCCAGCTAATATTGCTAATTTAAAACTCTTCACTCTCTCTTTCACCCCCAATCCCCCTCCCTTTTCCCCCATCTCCTCCTTATTGGACTCCCTCCATTTAAATCCCCTCATCTCACTACCATTCCCCCCGCTTCGTACTACTCCAGTTGATTTGCCAATGCTTCCTCCCCAAGCGCTCTGCAGAGCCCCCTTCACTATCCTGCCCTTCAACCAACTTCTTTAGAAAACTCCCAACCCCTTCAGTGGTGCAGTTGAACCACGTGGGGGCCTCCCTCCTCGCCTCTCTTCCAGCCAAGGTGTCAGCACGAGCCAATCATTGCATTGCTTCAGATCGTCGCCACTCCCCTCCTTTTCCTGTAAACCCTCCCTTGTTCTTTTCGCACATGAGCCTCGTCGTTCCCTGCCTGCCATTTCACACGCCCATGCTGCTCTTCGATTTGCTTCTATGGCCCATGCAACTGTGTCGCCACTACAAATGTGCTGCCAATTCCTGTGCACTATGTGCTTGCTCGCTCCTCTTTCACACCCCATGCAACTAGGTGTGTTGTGAGTCACGGCACCCGCCCCGCCAGTTTCTCCCTTCTGTGCGACCTTTCTGCCGTTCTCTTCTGTGGTTTCACCAACAGCCCCTCCCCCCCCAACCTTACCGTCTCTACCTCACCCACTCCGCCACCCACCACTGATGCTGCCCTGATGGCAGCATCATGTGCAGCACAAGTCACTGCTGCCGTTCTCGCCGTTCTCCTCTGCTCCCTCGCCCCTCTCCTACTACGCCCCCTCATGCCCTCCTCCGCCTCTTCCCCCGTGGCCCCATCATCCACGCAACCCACGCATACACCCGTGCCGCTCGCCACCGCCCCTCCTGTATGCAAGCCCCTGAAAAGCCCCTCTTCATTCTCCCTGACTTTGACTACCCCAGATTGCATTTTCAGGGGCGCGGTCGGCAGTCTGACTCTCAGCCATGAGTCGTCGTTTTCGCCTGAAATGGGTGGTTGCCTCCTAGTAAAAATGATAGCGGGTGGCCTGCTTCCATCCCATGCATTCCTCTTGATGCCCATAGTCTGTCCAATGCTCCTGGGGCAGACCACTGTAGAGCGCTTATGTGAGCATTAGGTTGTGGTTGGAGCCCAAGAAGTGTCAATTCATGTCAATCGCAATCAATAAATAAATCAATAACCAAAATTGTGCAAACACGCAACAGTACTTATCTTTGGCAAGTGTAGTGTTACAGAAGCCCTTGAGCCCAATTTCCCCGTAGTAAAAGGGTCGGGCCCGTTTAGTTCGTTTGAATGCGGCTCAATAAGATGTTTCACGTTGTACAACGGTTAAAAATATTTCTGACCAGGATGGGTCTGAGCAAATATGGTGAGAATGACGCGCCCTATCTGGATATCTGACTAGCACAATCGTTTGTGTCCGTGGTGGTAGGTCTTTATGGCTCCACCGACCGCCCTGAATCCGCCTTCTGCGGTGACGCGAGTTCCACTTGGTCCCGCCTACTGCCACCCCACTGCCGCTGTGTACTCCCGCAGCCTCCCCGCTGTTGACTCCGCTCGCACCCTGTCATCACCACACTCAAGCTCGTGCTTTTCCGCCCTGCCGCCCGACTTGCTGTCGACCCTCATTCCAGCGGCTTCTGCAGCCGGCATCGGAAAGGGCATCGCCTGTCCGCCACCTGCCTACGGCTGCTCTCGGCAACATCGGGGACTCCACCCGCCCCGCTTGTGCGAACCCCTCTTCGCGCTGCATGCGAGGCACTTACCCGAGCGGCCGCGTGCCAGAAGGGCTATTGCCGACCGCCTCCGAAGCGATTGCTTCGAGCTTTCTCCGTGCGCGCGCACCCGCCGTTACCCTTGGCGATTCGGCAGCGAGCGCAGCCGTGTTGCTGTCCCAGCAGCGCAGTTCTCCGCAATGACGGCGGGGACAGGCGGAGCGGGGGGATCAGAGGTGGTGGAGAGCGGGGGAAGCGGGGACAGCAGAGAGTGGGAGATGGGAGAGGGGAGAGTGCGAGGAGGACGCGTGAACATCGTTCCGCGGCAAGAAGCGGTGGTGGAGAAGCGGGCGGGCACGGCTGCAGGGGGAGTGCGCGTGGGAGAGGTGGTGCGGGGGGGCGGCGTGGAGGAGGCAGGGCAGGCAGCGGCGTCACACATGACCGTGCGTGAGGGCGAGCACGTGGAACGAGTCTGTGCTGCAGTGGGGGGAGCGAGGGCAGCAGCAGGGCGAGGAGACAGTGCGGCAGCAGAGGAGCGGCGCACAGCAGGCTCGCTCTCACACGCGCACGCACAGCCCGCACCCACGTGTCCTGACCTGCCTGTGCTGGGCGCCATGACGCCAGGGTCAGCCCCCACCCTAGGGGCAGCAGGCCCCTGGGCAGAGGCGCCCTCCAGTGTGGCCAGTCACAGGAGCGCCCATGCGGATGCGTGTGCGTCAATGGAGGGCCACCTGTGCAAGGAGCCGTCGCTGCTCGTCTTCTCAGGTACCCTCCCGCTGCTCCCGCTGCCTCGCCTGCCCCCGTCGCCTGCCGCCATCCCTGCCGCTCTACATGCTGACGTGCGCCTCTCCCTGTGGTGCCTTCCTTGTGCGTTCCCCCGTGTGCGGTGTGCGGCAGGAGGCACGGCGTTCAACGCGGTGGCGGAGGAGCTGCACGAGTGGACCACCGCTGTGGCGCACGTGCTGCCCGTCTCCGATGATGGCGGCAGCACCGCAGAGATCGTGCGCGTCATAGGTCAGCCACTCACACCCTGCTGCTCTCTGCCTCACCACTCTGCAGCAAGGTGTTCTAATGTTGTTACATCACTCCCTCCTGCATGCGCCTCTCTCACTCCACACCCGCTTTGACCCCCTCATCCCGCGCCACCCTGTGTGCCCCCAGGTGGGCCTGCCATCGGTGACATCCGCTCGCGCTGCCTGCGCCTGTCTGACGGGTCGAGCCACGAGGCCAGAGCGGTGCGGCGACTGCTGGGTCACCGCCTGCCACTGCACCCCGCGCAAGCCAAGGCAGAATGGTGACCTCGCGCCCACACCACACCCATCACAACTACTTGCTACATCCATCGCCCGCCACCGTACCCTGTGGGCTGGTGCGCACGGCTCACAGTGTGGCCTGCCATGGGCATGTGGTGTGTGTGTGGGGGTGCGGTGGGTGTGCAGGGTGAGCATAGTGGAGGGCGAGCATGAGCTGTGGGGGGGCGTGTCGGATCCATACAAGGAAATCATCCGCGCCTTCCTCGTGCACTTCCACTACCAGGTTCACCTCTGCTCGCCTCCACACCTCTCTTCCGCTCTGCTTGCAACATCTCTGATGTCACCCACAGCCCATCAGGACCTCTTCCTCCTCCTCATGTGCCCATCCTCGTCCACTCTCCGTCCTTTCTGCCTTGGCCCTCCATGCCAGATTCTCCGCAATGCAGGCCATCGCTTCTGCTTCCAGCATGGAAGGTGCGCATTCTCTTTCCGCCTCGCACACCCATCCTTTTGTCATGTACTGACATGACACTTGCACGCGACGCCCCTTACAATGACTGCCACCTCACGCTCTCCACTTGTCCTGCTGGCCTCCCACCATCACGCCATGCGTGCCACCTATATGTGGCCGTGCATGGCATGTGATGCAGTGTGGGCAACTTCTTCTTCTCAGGCGCGCGCTCCTTCTTCCGCTCGCTGGACGCCGCCATCTTCCTCTTCTCCCGCGTCTCCAACATCCCACAGCGCAGCCTCGTGCTGCCCTGTGTCTGCACCAACGACCGCTTCACTCTCGGCGCCGAGCTCTACGTAACCACACACCCCTCAAAGCACACCACTTCCTCCCTCTAGTCATGCCTCTCATGCCACCTGCCATACTGACAAAAGCCCGTATCCATCTCTTCACCGCCTCCATTGCCTATCAGTGCAGTGTGACCCACTTTGGCCCCGCGTTAGCATTGCATGGCCATCCCCTTTCAGTCATTACCATAAGGCCCATTCCTCCTTCCACTCGTTCCAGTGATTTGTCCCAGTTTTCATTTAATCTCAATATCCCTCCCCTGTGTCTTTGTGCGTGCAACCGGCCCTTCACGTATGCGTGTTGGCGCACCACATGGTGTGGTGTGGGAATCAGGACGGCAGCATCATCCGCGGGCAGAACGACATCTCACACCCCGCTGTCGTGGACAGCCCACGCCACCTGCCGCTCTCCGTTGACAAGGTCGCACTGCTGCCACCGCCCTGCTGCTGCAATGCCACCTCTGCACGCCTTGCCGCCGCCCCTCACACCCACACATGTCCACCACCCAGGTTGATGGAGCGTGCCTCAAGTGTGTTCCTGCTGCCTGCCTTCCTCTCCGTTTTCCTACCCCCATTGTCTCTGCAGTCTTCTGATGCATCGCCTCCTCTGCCCGCGCCCATCCGCCGTGTGTTCTACATGTCCAGTGAAGGCACCAACCTGCTGCATGAGGTGCGTGCCGCCTGCCATGGGCTCACCTCACTGCCGCCATGTGTGCCACCTCTGGGATGCTTCAAGCTGCCAACTCTTGGAACTGCTGCATCTTGCATGTACCATGTGTGCAACTGAGGCCCGTAGCTGGCACCGTCCATCACTGTGTGTGAGGGTCACGGTGCTCGTTGGTGTGTGGTGTGTGGCAGGTGTTCCCACGGGTGAATCCGCGAGTGCTGGAGCAGATCACATCAGTGGATGCCATCATCTACGGCATTGGCTCTCTCTTCACCTCCATCTGCCCCTCCCTGGTACCTACCTACACCCCTCTTTCTTACCATCTCCTCGTTCTCATCATTTGTGTTCATCTCCCTCACTTCTTGCTCCTCTCATGCTCACACTATCACTGTTTTAAGCAGAGAGTTATTCATTCATGTCTCCCATTTTCGCTGCCCTCTCCACTGTCCCGTCCGCAATCCCTTTCCCCCGAACCTTAGATCTTGCGAGGGGTGGGAGAAGCAATTGCCGCACGAGAATGTCCCAAGGTATGGCTGAGTGCACCAGAACATCCCAAGCAGGAATGCTCTGCTCTGCTGCACACCCCATCAACTCTCTTTGTTCCTCCCTTGCCGTCCTCCCCTTCACCGGTTCGTTTTTCGTGGGGGGGGGGCGTGAGTTCAGAGGGAAAAGCTCGCAGTGGCATCACATGTTGTGGGGCATGCTCCCATCGTGTGCCCCACGCGCGCATGGCATGGCAGGTGCTAGTGCTGAACGGGTCAGTGGACCGTGAGACAGCGGGCATGGCGGCGTCAGACTTCGTGCTGGCCATCTGCAACTGCCTCAACCGCACCTTCGGAGACGACTCCCGCCACCGCCTCACCCACTCGGTCGGTCAGATGCACACGCCACCGCTCACACGTCTGTAGTCGTTCGTGCTTTCAACTCCTACTTACCCTTTGTCCATTGCACTCGTGTTCTCCTCTGCTATGGCCACTCTCCTGCAGTCGATGCACTATGTGACGCACCTCATCGCACCAGAGGGAGGAGCCATTCCCCTTGACCATGAACGCCTCACATACTTGGGAGTCACCTCTGTGGTAAGTCTTGCCACATACCCATTGCTGCAAGGTGTTACCCTCTCATGCCTGTGGACTGCCTTCCATGTTATGTTGGTTGGTATGCATGATCCACAGCATTCATGTCCCATCCCATCCGCATTTTTCTTTCGTGTCGCCCTGCCCCTGCGCCAGACTATGGTTCCCTCGCTTCCATGTGAAAGCAGTACTGGAGTGCACTATGATGTGCATGCACTTGTCACAACATTGAAGGACCTCCTTACTAAACAGATGGCCAGCCAAGTAACCACCTGAACCAGCAACCTCCTTTTTGCAGCCTCATATCGCTAGGCGTTTGGTTTGTTTGCACCACGATAGTGTCCGTCGTGTTTTTTTTTTCAAGTTTACCATCCTGAAAGGTACACATTGTACCGTATCTGTTTTCAAATGCAGCATCCTCAGACGTACTTCAAACTCTCTGTGGTGTTTCAATGAGGAAATGTGGGTGCTTCACTTAACCATTGATTTGAATGTTCACTGCAGCACATAGAGCGTGCTTGTAAGTTGTAACGAGTCATGACGCGCCTCGTAGGGTTTCCGACAGCAGGACCCAGGGATCAGGCAGCCGACGTCGAAGATTGGGCGCCAAGAGCACCCGCGCGTGTTTGGCCTCGGCGGCTTTGCTGAACATAGCAGCTGGAACATTCGCCCGCATCCATGGCGTGGCATGGGGCACGACTTGTCCCCGCCTTGTGTCTGTGGTCATGGGTCCTGCTTGCGCAACCAATGTGGCACCCAGCAGGTCAGCGGAACACTGTGCAGCTGCAAAGGTGGGATGGACATGGAACCACCCAATCCCAGGTCATGGCGTGCGCGCTGGTAGCATGCCATACCGATCGCCATGCAGCAAAGTGCGCCATCCCTGGCGCAGGATGGCAAGTCCCGCGGAGTGCGAGGAGTCCCTTCATAATATTTAGATTAATGTGCTCCATAGCCTCCGCTCCCTCGTCGCAACCAGACGGTGACAGATGCATTTTAAAGGCCTCATCGTTTAGGGTCGCCGCCATCCATCAGCGTCGTTTGGAATAAATTAAGAATGAGCCATCGCGTTCGCAACAGCGTTTCTCCTCCGTTGCGTGTGTAGCGTGCGAGAGCGGCTACCCGACCGCAGAATCCGATCATCCATCGCCACCACGATGACAAGCGCGCCCGCCGGGAGATGACGCTGCCCGTGTCGCGCCGTGCGGGCGGATACGGACAGCCACAGCGAGCGCGAGAGCGCAGTGCATGCAGGCGCGGTAATGGCTGCCTGCACGACAGCGCCGTGCCGCGACACGTCGACAAAGCGCCTCTTGCGTCGACTTCCGAACTGGCCAAGCGTGAATGCGGGGGCGGGGCGGCGATGCCGCGGGAGAGCGACGGCGACGGTGGGGCGCATGGGGCGGGGCGATGGCGGGCTTCTGGTGCCCGCTGCTGCCCAGCAGTCTCCGCACGCGCGCGCCTTTACTCACGTCGCCCACGCGGCGCAGCGCATGCTTCCAGGCACAACTGCAGCACCGCCTTTCGTAACTCTCGTGGAACGATGTCGCCGTGCCACTCGTCCGCCGTGCCATGGCCGCGCGCCTGCGCCCTTGCTCTCCTCCTCCTCCTGCACTGCCTGCCGCACGCACCTCCCCTCGCCGTGCGGGCAGCGCAGGGATGCGCGGATCAGCTGGAAAAGGCGCCGGCGGCGACGGCGCAGGCGGAAGGGCCGGAGGGGTCGGGCTGCATGGGGTGGTCGCACGGGGGATGGGGGGAAGCGTGGGCGGAGGGGGTGCGCGAGACGGCTTCGGAAAGGGGCGGTAAAAGCAATCTGGCGTGGCTGCTGTCAGTGCAGCAGCAACACCCGCAGACGGTGAGTGGGACGACACGGGCACATGGCAATCACGCTAATAGTTGCTGCATCCAAGCGCGACCACGCAGAGACGCACGCACGCGCGGAGTGCGCGCGGATGCGGTCCGTGGATCCAGTGCGCTGTCCCTTCACGGCGCGCTCGCCGCGCACGCTCTCACGTGTGCTCGCGCGCCGCCTTGCCCTTCTTCCCGCTGCCCTGCAGGCTGCCAGCACGGCACCCGTGCGCGCACTAGCGGCGCGCAGCAGCAACCAGCAGGTACTCTCGTCTTGCATCCCGCACCATCATTGACACGCTGCCGTGTTCACCCCGCTATGATCGCTGTGCGCGTCCCCGCTGTCCCTTCATACGCAACATCTCCCCTGCTCCCGCCTTGCCCGCCCCCCTTCCCCGGCGCAGTTCCTGACAGCCTTCTCCTCGCTGCAGCGCGCGCCCGCGTCCACGCCCACCCGCCACCCCCCGGGAGACGCATCTCCGGGATCCGCGCAGCCGCAGCACTCTCACGCCTCCCGCCTCCTCTCCACCGCGCCCACCCACACTCAATCAACCACCCCACCGCCGCTCTCCGCCTCATCCCCACCCGCTCCGCTTCCCGCTTCTTCGCCCACCCACTCACCTTCCACTTCCTTTCCGCCTCTTTCCCCTCCTTCCACTCCCTTGCCTGCCCAGTCGGACTCCTCCCCCCCTATATCCTCCTCCCCGCCATTAACCCCGTCCGCCCCCATGATATCACCGCATGTACCACCCCCACACTCCTCCTCCTCCTCCTCCTCCTCCTCCTCCTCCTCCTCCTCCTCCTCCTCCTCCTCCTCCTCCTCCTCTCCTGCCTCCGCCGCCGCCGCCACATCGCCACCATCCACGGCGCCCCGCCTCGCATCGCCCTCACCGCGCGCCGCATCGCACCGCGCCCTCCCCGTCCTCGCGGCTCTCGACGTGTCCTCGCCACCCCCCAGCCACGCGCCGTCGCTGTCCGCGGAGCCCCAGTCCGCGGAGCCGCAGTCCGCGCCCGCCGCGCCTCAGGACTCCGCCACCAGCACCACCAACGCCTCCGCCTTTCTGCACTCCATGCCCTCCCTCACGCCCACCGCCATCCCCTCACCCTCGCCGCCCCCACCCTCGCCCAATCCCTCACCCCCGCCTCCCTCTCCCAACCCCTCACCCCCTCCACCCTCTCCCCATCCGTCGCCTCCCCCCACTTTTCCGCCCCCTTCTCAGGTACTGCCGTCACCCGCCTCGCTGCTCCCTTCCTCAGTGCCCTGCTCTATGCATTGCTCTCTCTTCTACCATCCCGCCAGTGGAAGCCTCGTTTCTGCCCTCCTCTGCAACCCGTGCCATCCCCTTTCATCTCCTGACACGCGCTCTTCCCCCCGTTCCCCCATGTCTGTACGTCCCTGCACCGCAGCCGCCCCCCTCCCCCCCTCCACCAACGCCTGCAGCGCCGCCACCAGGTAAGCCCTGCCCCTCCCACCCGCTGACATTTCTCATGCACGAGTCCTGCCTCTCACACCGACAAGCCGTTTCAGCTGCTCTTCACTCCTCCTCCCTCCTTCCACCGCCCCAAACTCATTGCTCTACTTCCCAATTTGCCCCCTTTTCCTCCTCGTTTTCCCAACGTCATGCGCAGTGGCACCACCTTCGCCTCCACACGACCAGCCTCCGCCAAGTCAACCGCTCCCAGCCCCCTCCCCGCCACCCCCTTCACCAAATCCCTCGCCCCCATCACCCTCTCCTCCGCCCCCCTCCCCTCCACCTCCTTCCCCCAATCCGCCCTCTCCCCCTCCCCCCCAACCGGATCCACCCCCTCCCTCGCCACCACCCCCGTTGCACCCGCCACCAACCCCCCCTGACCAATCGCCCCCGCCCCCTCCTCCGGACCCTCCTTCCGCCCCACCCCCTGCCACTCCGCCCCCTGATCTCTCCCCCACTGACGCTCTTCCTCCCATTTCTCTCCCCCCAGAGTCCTCTCCCCCTCCTCCGCCGCCGGACAGCCCTCCGCCCCCTCCGCCTGTTGAAACCCCCCCGCCTTCCCCAGCAGCGCCCCCCTCGTCCCCTCCCCCCGCGCCCCCGCATTCAAAGCCGAGTACCTTGGAGGAAGTCACCAACCCCCCGCCACCACAGCACCCGCCCCCGCCTGCCCCCCCTTCTGACCCGCGCCCCCCTCGCGCCCCCCCGGTGCAACCACCCAGTGCCCCGCCCCCTGCCCCCCGTCCTTACCCGCAGCACCAGTCCTTCCCCCCACCGGATTCCCCAGACCATCCACCCCCCACGTCTCCCCACCACCCTCCCCCCGTCCCCCCTGTAATCGCCCCACGTGACCCTCCTTCGGAGCTCCCCCCTCTCGCCCACTCGCCTGGGCGGCGTCACACTCCCTCCCAAGCACACCCTGTTCACAGACCACCAGAGCCACACCACCCACACTCACACCCTCCCGCAAAAGCATCAAAGGGCAGGACGCGTCCCCCCAAGAAATCGGTTGAGGATGGAGAGGGGAGTGAGAAGAAACCCGCCAAGAGGCAGTCGCCTCCCAAGGAGAAGAGGAATCACAAGCACGCGCCCCCCCCTCCTCCGCACAAGAGCAAGTCCAAGCACAAGCACCGCCACGCACACCCCCCTGCACGTCCGCCTGCCACTGCGCCTGCGCCCTCGCCTGCCGTGCTGGTGGATGGCGCCAGTGCTGCCTCCCCCGATGATGCTGCTCTGCTGCCGCCCCTGCCTCCCACACCGCCACTCATACTGCCACCACCACCACCAGACTCACGCCGTAAGTCCCTTGCTGCTGCCACTCAGCTGCTTGAAATGGCCAATTGGTCTTGCTTGTTCGTTTGTTTAGGTATCCTTCCCATCCGATTCTTCTCTCTGCTCGTCCTGCCCCTCTCTCCCAGCTCCGTCCCTTCCTCATACGCCCCTCACTGCCCGCCCTCTACCCCCCTGTGCACGTGGCACTGCACGGGGCAGACTGCAGGGAGTGTCCTTTGGGCACGGCGGTGAAGCCAGCGAGCGGGCCCACGGACGTGGCGTGTGTTTGCGCCGTGCCCATGGTCGTGGGGCTGCGCCTCGCCCTGCCCTTTGACGACTTCCTGCACTCCGTGCCGCTCTTCGCCCAGCAGCTCAGTGCGGGGCTGCATGTGACGCCGCAGCAGGTGCAGGTGTGGGGCGTGGAGTACGACCGTCAGGGCACGGGTTTCCTAGACACCACGTCGTACCTGCTGCCCCTGCACGGCACACAGCTTCCCGCCTCCCTGGTCGCGTCCATCCGCCGGCGTCTGCTGGGCGGGCAGGTGTGGCTGGACCCCGCCCTGTTCGGCCGCTTCCAGGTGCTCTTCATCCTCAACCCCGGCGACCACCTCCCCCCGCCCGCCCTGCACCCCGCCTCCGCGCCCGCCCCCCCTCCCCCGCTCTGGCCCGCCTCGTCGGAGGGCTGGGCGCCGCCACAGGCGGGCGGGGGAACGGAGGGGGGCGGCAGCACGGGGCACTCGATGGCGGCGCTGGAGGTAGCGCTGTTCATTGTGGCGCCCTGCGTGCTGCTGCTCCTCATGCTCGCCTCCTGCCTCGCCTGGCTCCTCCTCTACCGCCGCCGCCCCCACCGCTCCGCTGCTGTGGCCGATGCCGCCACTGTTGCCGCTGCTGCGGGTGCACCGATGGCAGCAGACGTGGCGGACAAGGATGGTGGGCTTCCCGTGGAAAAGGGGCTGGAGAGCATTGGTGAGCCACAGCACGTGCTAACATGGACTCGTGAACCCCCCTCCACGCCGTGTGCCTAAAGCAGCTGTGTATGCCTTTCCTGTGTCACCGCATGTGCTTGGCAATTGATCCCACGGCCGCTTGTGTTTCACACTAACAATCTACAGATATCCATGGCCGCGCTATTCCTCCTCTCAACACTTGCATCTCTCTCACCTGTACCCGCCCCCTCTTCACCCCCGTCGCCCCACCGGCAGCGCCATCCCAAGCGTGGCCATCATCGGCCGCATTCTGCTCGCCCTCGCCCGACGCCCACGCGGCGCTGCCATCATCATCACTGCCAAGCGAGGTAGCAGGGCTGGGCGTGAGCCTGGGGTTCGCGGGCACGGGCACGGGCCTCAACGCCTCCTCACTCGCCCTGCGCGGACTCGCCACAGCGCCAGCGGGCGCGGTGGTGTTCTCGCTGCTGCAGCTGCGGCGCGCCACCAACGACTTCCACGCAGACAACCTGCTGGGGCAGGGCGGGTTCAGCCGCGTGTACCGCGGCGAGCTGGCGGATGACACACTCGTTGCTGTCAAGCTGCTGCACTCGCCGGAGGCGCACGGGGACGCAGGGGGCGCGGGGGCGGGGTGGGCGGAGGAGCAGGAGAGGGAGCGGGCGGACGCGGAGTTCATGAAGGAGGCGCAGGTGCTGAGCTGCCTGCACCACCGCAACCTCGTGAAGCTGCTGGGCATCTGTGCGGAGGGCGGGCGGCGCTGCCTGGTGTACCAGCTGGCCAGCAACGGCAGCCTCGCGTCGCACCTGCACGGGGTCATGCGCGACGTGGCGGGCGTGATGGAGTGGGAGCGGCGCATGAAGGTGGCGCTGGGTGTGGCGCGCGCGCTGTCGTACCTGCACGACGACGCGAGTCCGCGTGTGGTGCACCGCGATGTGAAGAGCGCCAATGTGCTGCTGGACGTGGACTTCTCCCCCCTGCTCTCCGACCTCGGCCTCGCCAAGACCATGCCCCACGCTGGCCCCACTGCACTGGCGGAGCAGGGAGCGGTGGGAGGAGGGGGACAGGCGTCCAGGATGATGGGCACCGTTGGGTGAGTAGGGGGGGGACGCACGGGTGGGAAGGGCAGCAGGGTGGGAGCACGGTGTGGGGTGCTTTCAATGGGAGGGCGTGGGGTGCTTTCAAGGTTATGCGAACACTGTTGACTCCAGCCATGCCTTGTGCTGCGTGCTCACAACCCCCTTGTGCCTCCTCCCATCTCGTGTACTCCATCTGCTGTACATGCCCTGCCCATGTAACCATCCTGCAGGTACGTGGCACCGGAGGTGGCGCTGACGGGGCAGGTGCTGGTGCGCAGTGACGTGTACAGCTTTGGCGTGGTGCTGCTGGAGCTGCTGTCGGGTCGCAAGCCCATCGACCACTCGCTGCCGCCGCCCCACCACAGCCTCCTGCACTGGGCCTCGCCGCTGCTGCTCAGGTCCGTCTTGCCTGCTGCGAATGGCGGCCATGCCATGAGACACGCATGCTGGGTGGGGGTGGATGGTGGCACATCATGATGCATGGGCATGGGCATGGGCATGGGCATGGGCATGGGCATGGGTTGAATCAGGAATGAATGGGAGCATTTCAGTGTGTCTTTATGGTGTCTCCTCTCCCACCCTGCTGACTCTCGTCATGCAGCCGTCATGCTGCCTGCGTCTCATCACCTGCGCGGCACCACCCATTGCATGCGCCCTGAACCTATCTCCCTGTGTGTGCCCCTACCGTCCCATGCGTCCCCACGAGCAGCAGCACGGGGGTGAAGCAGGTGGTGGACCCGGCGCTCAAGGGGCGCTACCCCCTGGAGGCGGCCATGCGGGTGGCGGGCATCGCCAGCATGTGCCTGCAGCAGCTCCCCGAAAATCGCCCCTTCATGAGCCAAGTCGTGCAGGTGCATGCGCCGCTCCTCTCATAGCACCAGGGGGAACGAGGTAGCAAGGTGTCCAGTGTGTGCCGGTGGCGTTGGTCTGGCTTGGTTACCTGCCTGCATTGCATCCCACTCTCTCCGTATCTGTATGTGCACACCTGCCTCTGTGCCTCGCTGTATCCCTCTCCCTGCGCCATGGCAGGCGTTGAAGCTAGTGTACAGGGAGGGCAGTGATGGCAGTAAGAGCGATGACGACGACGAGTCCTTCGCACAGCCCTCTCACACCTCCCATCGCACACCTGCGCCTGCATCCGCTGCCGCCACCAGTGCAGCGAGCGCTGGCCTTGGCGGTGAGAGCGGGCGGGTGAGTGAGAGCGATGTGACGAGCATGGGCATGGACGTGGGCATGGAGGCGAGTGAGAGCGCCATGGGCAGTGCCGCCATGACTCTCTCCCCCTCTGACAGAGGCCTCATGCCCAGGCTGCTGCGCATGCGCGTGCACGACCTCGACTACAGGTGCGTGCCCCGCTCACTGCACTGCACTGCTGCTTCTCTCTCTGCTCATGCCACTCCAACTTTCAGCGCGCCTCACTGCTCCGAACCCCACTTCCCTCTCCTGTGTGCACCCCTGTCTGTGCTGTGTGTGTGCAGTGGGGACATGGGGCTGCTGTCACAGGGTGAAGGGGAGCCCAGCGCAGTGCAGGTGAAATGCATGCACCTGCTGTGCCGCTCATGCATGCCCGCGCAGCAATGTCTTGTTATTCCCCTCCCACTCCACTCGTACCATTATCTTCCTGCGTCACTTCTTGTTGTGCTAGCCATCCGCCCCTGCTTTTTCTTCCCTGCTGCCTCGCACCTTTCTCACACTGCTCTCTGCCCCCCAACTGCAAATGTGCGTGCCGTGCATGTGTGTGAGCAGTCCCTCGCTGGCACATGCCCCCGCGCCACCTACTTTCACCTCAGGTCAGACCAGACGCCTTTGCTTGCCAGCCCTTGAACCCACCTCTGTCTAGCACAAGTCGCATGCACCTCTCCATGGTTGCACTTGTACTCCACTGTTTCGCACTTGTATAAGATTCCCCCCTCCATCGCGCCACTCCTACTGCCTGCCTGTGCCCGTCACCCTCAGGACCTCCTTGTCGGGGCCGCCTGTTCTCGCAGCCCCACCAGGCACCCCTCCCCACGCGTCGCCTTCCACCTCCCCCCCTCACCTCCCCACGGACCAGTCCTCACCCTCACATTCGCTCCTGCCTGACCGCACGCTAAGCCAGGGAGCCATATCCTCTGCTCGCACCATGAGCCACGGAGCTCTGCATTCGGGAGAGTTGGATTGATGCATGCATCAAGGGTCTATCTAGGAGGCTGATAGTATGCTTTAGGCTATGCTTTGCTGCCCGGCATGAGAGTCAACCTGTGGCTGCTCATGGTAGTTGGGTGGGGCTGGTTACACCCTATGCTTCTTATGTGTGCTTTTACGCGGTCTCGCAGTGTGTATGTTATTAGTTCATTTCCTATCTGCGTGCTCTCTCCACTCCAAAAGGTCACTATATCTTGCGTGCGCCGTCCTGGCATGCAGAGTGTAGGAATGTGTTGTGCCACCATGATCAGCAGGATGGTACCCATATCGTGTATAGCTTCTATTGTAACAGACGTGTATGCTAAAGATACACTCGAATTCTCAGGGCTGTTCACCTTCCGATCGGGTCGCCTCGCCATGACCACTGCAAGGTGGTTGAAGCACATCCCAAGGGTTCGCCTCAAGCGTCTATTGGCTGATCACGCCTGCTTGCCCGCTTCGAAGCCCAGGCGAGGCACGGCCATTAATGGAAACCCACGCTCTCCTCGCTCCCCTGCGCACTCATCGCCGGGTCTCGTCCCACGCGTGCAGATCTCGTCGCCAGTAGACCTGCCTGTCACGCCTGCCTCCACTCACCCCTCCGCTCCTCCCTCGTGCCTTTCCGCCATGGCTGCCTGCCGAACGTGGACCTACCGCCGCCTCGCGGGGCTCGTGTTGCTCGCCGTGTGCTGCCACGTGCACCGCGCGGTCGCCTTGGCGCCCCTGGGCCGCGCGGAGCAGTCGGAGATGCGCGAGACAGCGCGCTCCATGTGCGCTCCCTATCCCCTCGCCGCCCGCCTCTACTCGCCCTCGCTCCCTCCCATCTCCGTCGTTCCTTGCTCAATTCGTAGCTCTCGAATTCTGTCGCGAGTGTCGTCATGTTCGAAGCGTGCGCTCGTAGTCCTTGTATCGCGGCCTCATGCGCTCCCGTTGGCTCTCCCTTCCTCCCCACCCCTGCTCATGCACGTCGCCGCACATGGGATGGTGGGCGGTGCAGGTTCTACCACGCGTACGACAACTACATGCGCTACGCCTTCCCTGTAATTCCCCGCCCTCACCGCCCCGCTCGCCCTCTCCCCCGCCTCCCGCTCTCCCCATCTCCATCGCCCTCCCCCCCTAACACCACCCCCCTTCCCTAACAACCCCCCCCAGCCATCTCCCCTGCTTCTTTCCAATCAAGGCTTACACCACCTCTTCGCCACCTAGAACGTCCCTTGCTCCTACACCTCGCCCCCTCTCTCCTCCTCGCCACGCCTTTCACCGCCCTCTCATGGTTGTGCTGCCAGGAGCGCGCGTGTCTGAGCTGTCCTCCATGATAGCGTGTTCTGTCCCCCACCCATGCGTGCGCAGCACGACGAGCTGAAGCCGCTCTCGCGCTCCTACACCGACTCGCTGGGGGAGCTCGGCAACCTCCAGGTGCGCTCTGCTCGTGCTGGATTCGTGTGATGGGGGAGTGGGAAAAGGGGTGACAAAACGCAGATGGGGAAGGGGGATGGGACAAAGAGAAAGTTGACTAAAGGATTTGGCGTGCATCCCCTTTGCTTCATATCATTTCCCCCTCGTTTTTGCATTCCCGTCTGTTGGTGGCACCAGATGCAGCACGTATCGACCAAGTACAATGGAAGCGCACTCACCCTCATCGACTCGCTCTCAAGGTGCCTCCTCGCCTCTCAAGGTGCCTCCTCGCCTCCCTCCACATGCCGCCCCTCGCTGCTGCTCACACTGCACTGCTGCTCTCCCTGCTCACCCTATCCTCCTCGTTACTCCATGGCATGTGACCTCATTTCATCTCCTTCACCATCCCTTCCATCCGCTCCACCCCTTGCCACTCCTCTTCTCACCCACTCCCTCTGCACGCACCTCCCTCTCCCCCTCTCCCCCCCTCGGCCCCCCCCCAGTCTGGCGGTGCTGGGCAACGTGAGTGAGTTCCAGCGGGCGGTGCGCTGGCTGGCGGCATCGCTCTCCTTCCATGCCGACGTGCGCGTCAACACCTTCGAGGTACCAAGCCCCATCGAAGCCCTCGCATCCCCCACATCCCCTCATGCACATGGGCCCCGTCTCCCTCCCTCCTGCTGCCCCTCTCAATCGCCCAGTGCCCACCCCGTGTGCCCCTGTGGTGTGGTGGCGGCAGTGCAACATCCGGCTGCTGGGCGGGCTGCTCTCCGGCCATCTGCTCGCCCAGCACCACTCCCTGCTCCTCCACCCCCCGCCGCCCCCCACCTCGCCCTCCGGTCGGGGCACAGCTGACAGCAGGGAGGGAAGAGAGGGGCAGATGGAGCAGGAGCATGGACCGCGGACACACAGGGGAGAACGCGCAGCTGCAGAGGGGCAGGGTACAGGGGCCGCAGCAGGGGACGAGCAGGAAGGGGAGCGGAGGAGTATGGGTGAGGAGGGAGAGGGGTTGAGGGCGGGAGTGGAGGCAGGGGGGGGCGAGGGGGAGGGGGAGACAGGGGCGTGGTACCGGGGCGAGCTGCTGGTGCTGGCGGAGCAGCTGGGGCGGCGCCTCATGCCCGCGTTCAACACACCAACTGGCATTCCCTACGCCTGGATCAACCTCAAGGTCATGCCCGCCATGCAATCCTCATACAGGGACATGCTGGGGGTCTGGGGGGGGGCAGGAGGGGGATGGGGCAGGCATAATGAATGAGGCTGGTGCTCTGCTTTTCGTCACTTGCCCACTGTCCTCTCTCACTCGTTTCCAACGTTCCCTCCTGCACTCTTTGTCTCCCTGCCTTCTCACTCCCCATGTCCCACTCTTCACTTGTCTGTGCTGGTCATTCGATCTCCATCGCCCTGCCCTTTGCCATGCCCTCTCGCCCTCCTGCCCTGCCACGTGCTGCAGTACGGGGTGAGGCCGGGTGAGACCACGGAGACCAGCACGTCTGGCTGTGGTCAGTCTCTTCACCCCCTGCCCTCACTCGCTGTCTCCCACACCTTCTCCTTTCCTCTTGCACTGCCTTCTACTCTGCACCACTTGCCTCTTTGCAGTGCGTGCATGCATGCTCTGTACCTCCTGCCCTCCACTCCGCTCTCCATTGTCACCATCCCACCATGTCGTTCCTGCGCGCGCCCTGGATCTTGTTACATTGCATGTGTACCGTATTATACATTATCTTTCACTGCACAACTGCACCTCTCTTTCTCCATCCTCTCTCCCTTCCTCCCCTTACTCCCAGGCTCGCTCATCCTGGAGTTTGGGCTGCTGTCGCGCCTGACGGGCGACCCGTGTTTTGAGCGGGCAGCGCAGGGGGCGCTGAGGCGCGTGTGGGGCATGCGGTCAGCAGTGGACCTGGTGGGGACCACGCTGGACGTGGCGAGTGGGCAGTGGGTAGAGGGCAACACGGGCATCGGAGCAGGAGTGGACTCCTTCTACGAGTACCTGCTCAAGGCCTACGTGCTCTTTGGCGACCCCGACTACTGGCACATGTTCCAGGCCGCCTACACCGCCACCCAGCGCTACCTGCGCACGCCGCACCCCTCCTCCTGGTAACCGCCCTCCGGGGCTCTGAGCTGTCATGACCGGGTGTGTGCCATGGTACATGGTGGGTGGGCGGGGTGCATGGTGGGCGGGTGGTGTGCATGTGGCTCGGTCCTCGTCCTAACTCGTCTTTCCATGCGCCCATCGTGGTGCCCTGCAGGTACCATGATGCGCACATGCACACGGGCAGCCCCACCTATCGCCAGTTCGCCAGCCTGCAGGCCTTCTGGCCCGCCCTGCAGGTGTGCTGCACTGCTCCACTCGGTTCTGCCCAGCTCACCTCTGCTTTCCTCCACTGCATCTTCCCACCACCACTCCTTGCCCCTCGATCCTCACTCTGCCGTGCCTCTGCTCCACTGCGCTCATCGTCTCTCCCGTGCGTCCCTGCCCCACACTGTCTCGTGCGCCCTGCGAAGGTGCTGGCTGGTGACGTGGCAGCAGCCAATGCGACGCACCGGCAGTTCTTCTCAGTGTGGGAGAAGTTCGGCCTGCTGCCTGAACGGTGACTCTCTCCTGCCCTCCCTGCCCTGCTGCTTGCTCCATGCCATGCCACGCTACGTCAGGCCATGCCACGTCATGCCCCATACCTCTCCTCTGTGCTATGGCGGGCGTCATGCTTTCCTGAATGCCTTGGCTGCACGCTCACTCATGCATGTTCTCCCGTCTCCCACTGCTCTTGGCGCGCCTCCCTTCTCCCCACGTGTACCCCACGCTCCCCTGGGTGCGCGCAGGTATCTGTTTGACATGGGGGTACCGCACCCCACGGAGCGCTACTACCCTCTCAGGCCCGAGCTCGCTGAGTCCACCTTCGCCCTCTACCACGCCACCAAAGGTCGCCCCCCCTCCGTCCCCCCTCTGCCTCTCTCTCCACAGCTCTCCTCCCCTCATTGCCCTCCCTGGCTTATCCAGGCATTCAGTATCTTTGCTCCCTTCGCACGTGCCTCCCTCCCTGCTCCACGCGCGTCTCTCATCACTCTCCCACTGTGCCATGCCATCCAATCTCGTCCACTCTGCCTCTCTGTTTGTCTTGCAAGCATGTCTGGGTGGGCGAGAAATGTGGGCGGGATGTGTGGGGGGTGCTGGATGGGGCTGGGGGTGGGCGCTATGTGTGCCTGGGGTTGAGAGTGGGGTGGATGGGGTTGATGGAGGGAGCAGACCCATGGTACCAGCGGGTGGGGCAGACGATGCTGCGCGACTTGAATCGGCGCACGAGGGTGGCGGGGGGCTATGCGAGTGTGAGGGACGTCACCACGGGCGAGCTGGAGGACCACCAGCACTCCTTCTTCCTTGCTGAGACGTATGCACTCTCCCACCACTGGGCCCCACCTTATCTTTCACCCAACTCCTTCCTTCCCTGCCACCATTCTCCATCTTGCTTTCAGCTAAATTTCCCTCGTCCCGTATGCCAACCTCGTTGTGCCTGTGTGCGCTTGGCCCTCATGACGACACGTGTGCACGGGCGTGGTGAGCAGGTGCAAGTACCTATACCTGCTGTTTGACGAGTCAGCACTGGAGCGCGGCAACATCCACAACTACATCTTCTCCACCGAGGGCCACATCCTGCCCGTGCTGCCGCAGTGGCACCACTCTCCTCCTCATCATCAGGTCCACCTTACCCTGTGTCCCTTTTCAACCTTGCTTTCATGCGTGCTACCGCAAGTGCCTAGATGTGGCGCTCACGTGTGTTGGTGGTGTGTGCTGTGCATGTGTGCGCCCCTGCATGCCTCCCTGCAGACATCCCCCGAAGGACAAACTTCAGGTGTGAGCAGCAGGAAAGGCGGGTGCTCGGGTGGGTGCAGGGCGAATGGCCATGTGGGTAGCACGACAGAGCAAAGGGGTGCTAGTGCTATGGATAGGATGGTGTGTCATAACTTCCAGTATGATTGGTCTCGATCATCACAACAGCAGCAGCAGCAGCGAGAGGAGAGCATTTGTCACGTGCCTGATATACGGCCGGACCACAGATGCTTACAGGACATTGACTGTGGCATCCATGCTGCTACTTGTAGCCTACGAACATGCAGCCCTGCTCGCTATTGCTCCTGATGTTACGCGGTGTTTCTATCTTTGATGTGATTTTTAGAGCCAAAGCCTGTGCGCGTGCGTGCGATACTTTTATTCATCAGAGCTGTACCTGTTGCAGGTAAGACACAGATTCTACTTGGGTGGGTCAATATGTAAACAGAGCAGAGTGTTGCTGCCTGAGCACAATACAATACCACTCAGAAAGGCTTTCTACGGTACCGTACCTGTAGCCGGGCCAGGCGTTTCAGCCAGCAGAATGTGCAGGTACAGCTACCGAGCATACTGTGTCACACACACGCATATACCCTCTAGACCTTGCTCGCAAATGTTTTCATACACCTCGGACTAACAATCTGGTAGATTTGACTAAATTTCCATACGACATTCATTTGGTTCGCAAAGGTTGTGATGCTATTACTACCAGATTTTATAAGTAATTTGACACGCTTTTACACACAGTCCATTCAGTTGGTCCACTCCATTGTGTGTGCGAACGAGCAACAAGTGTACAGCCTACAATATCGAAAGAAAACAACAGTATTACCGTAAACGCCCGGATATAAGACAGTGTTGAATAGTAGACAGGGGTTGTCTACTATACGGGTGTCTCTTATAAACAGGCTAGCCTCATTATAAGACACCTATTTGTGTGTACGAGATAAGACATATATGTCTTATAATCGAAACTTCAATATATTATAGCGAAAGTTGAAATAACGCGTACATTTTAACCCTTGCGAAGCGAGAATTTCTCCACGCGCTGACCCAGGACCTACCAAATTTGCCTCTGCAGGTGTTCTTGTCAAAATGAGGAATGGATCGTGCATTGATGTTGGTTGGGGTACATATAGCTAACCCTAAGTTTTGTACCCCCTAAGACAAACCTCACTATAGGCTACAACATTTGACACACCCCCATAGCCTAAGTGAGGGGTGTCTAGCAGAACCAAACGAGTACGGTCACAAGACCAGTCCAAGAAACGAAGCTCAGGGTGGATCACAACGTCACCACACAGTCTGAGCACAAACAACAGTGGCCACAAGGCCAGTCCAAGAAGTAACAGAGATATATAGAAAGCAAAGTAAACAGTACACTCAAGCCTAAGCAACACGAGAACCAGTGTCAACAAGGCCTAACTGCACACAGCACCTCTGGTGGTCACAAGGCGGAAGCGCCTTGGTGAAGATGTCTGCAGTGTTGGCCTCGGACTCCACAAACTCAAAGCGAGCCTGTCCACGCCTCTGCAACTCTCGCAGAAGAAAGTACCTGACGTGAATGTGCTTCACTCTGCTCTCCAGTCGTGGCTCTCGACAAAGGAGAATAGACGCCTTGTTGTCAGTGAACAAGGTCGGTGCAGAGCTCGGCCGCTCACCAAGGTCGGTGAGCAAGAAGGTCAACCAACGCAGCTCCTGTGCCGCCATGGCACCAGCGTAGATCTCAGCCTCAGCTGTAGAGGTCGAGACCGAAGAGGAGCGCGTGGACCGCCAGGAAACAGCTCCAGAACCCAGGCTGAAACAGTACCCCTGAGTAGACCTGTGAGTCTTAGCGTCGTCAGCGTAAGAGGAGTCACAGTGACCAGTAAGTACGACAGACTGCTGCCCTCCAAGAACTAGCCCCACGCCTGACGTCGTCGCTAGGTACTTCGCCACCCTCACAGCTGCTGTCCAGTGAACAGGACGGTGTCTCCCTGGCGCAACAAAGCGCGCAAGAACGCTGAGAGGGAAGGCGAGGTCCGGGCGAGTACAAGTCATCAGGTACATGAGGCAACCCACAAGCTCTGCGTAGGGACCACTAGGCTCGAACGGCTCGTCAGGAAAGGGTCCAGTGAGTCTGTGGTCAACAGCAAGAGGAGTGGGCTGTGTGGTGGAGTGCTGAAGCCCGAACCGCTGAAGGACCTGCTGCACCATGTGCGACTGTGAAAGTGTAATGGTGCGAGCAGCTCTGTCCCTGGTGATCTGCAGGCCAAGGTAGTGGCGCAGCTCACCAAGATCAGTGCAGGTGTGTCTCTTCTGCAGTTCGGACTTCACGTGTGCCAAAGCAACCCTGTCAGGGGTGGCGAAAACAAGGTCGTCAACGTAGACCAGAACAAAGAAAGGTGTGGGGCCACGACGAACGAACAGCGACGGGTCAGCAGAAGACGGCTGGAACCCAAGGTCAGACAGGGTAGAACGCAGGGTGTCGTGCCACTCACGAGGAGCCTGACGAAGACCGTAAACCGGTCGCCTCAGCCTCCACTGGGTCCCAGGAGGGAAAGAGCCAGTGAAGGCAGAGGGACGACGCAACCAGACCTCCTCGTGAAGACTGCCCTGAAGGAAAGCAGTAGAGAAGTCAAGAGAGTGTAACTCGTAGTCTCTCTGTGCTGCTACGTGTAGTAACACCTGAAGAGTGGTCATCTTCGGGGTGGGCGCGAAGGTCTGAAAGAAGTCAACTCCCTCGCGCTGACTGAAACCTCTAGCCACGTAGCGTGCCTTGAAGACCGGAGGAGATCCCGGTGGCCGCTTCACCCTGTAGATCCACATGCCGTCGACTACGTTCGCCCCCGGAGGGGGAACCTCATCGACGTAGGTGCCTGTGGATCTGTAGGAGGCCATCTCTGCGTCCATGGCAGCTCTCCACTGAGAGGCCCAAGGCCCTGACACTGCCTCAGCGTAAGTGCGAGGAGTCGGAATGTCAAGGGCGTCGGGGTCACCCTCAGGGGCGAGGAGCATGGCACAGAGATGAGGGGAAGCGGCCGCCAGGAACTCTAGCTCAAACTGCCTGTCCTCTAGGGCGTCACAGCCAAGGGCAGACACACCCCCGACGGCCAGAGGACTGGAAGGAGGAGCAGCCACAAGAGCGGTGGCGAAGTCAAGGCGGCGGGTAGAGGCAAACTCAGTGACTGCGGCAGTAAGAGCGGACACAGAGGACACAGAGGCACGAGGGTGGGTAACAAGAGAGGCGAGAACACGAGAGAGAACAGGACGGTACGTGCGGTAGTAGTCAGTGACAGGAGAAGGAAGCGACACAGTGAGGGCCGACTCAGGAGGAGACGGAAGCACAGACGGAGACGGACGAGGTGGACGAGAACAAAGGAAGGCTGTACGAAGGTCAGTGAAGGGAACAGGAGACGAGGGACGAGCACGAGGGGAGCGACGAGAGGCCCAAGTCTGAGAAGGAGGAGGAGACAACGAAGACTGAGAACGAGGGAAAACAGCGGGAGAGGGGTCAGGAGGAGGAAGCGGAGGACCAGAGACGGGAGGAGAGGGGGAGGAGGAAGGAGAGGGAGAGGGGAGACCAAGGGTCCGAAGACCCGAGACAGGAGGAGGAGACGGCAGCTGCTGCTGCTGCGGCTGCTGCTGCTCCAGCGGCTGCTGCCCCTGCTGCTGTCGCTCCTGCTCCTCGAGCCGCTGCAACTCTCTCTCCTCTCTCTCCAACTCCAGCTGCTCCTCACGAGCACGGCGAACACGAGCCTGGAACCTGGTCGGGTAGGGGTGGGGGGAAGGAGTAGTGTCCGGGGCAGCGGCAGCCCCAGAGTCGACCTCCGAAGCACCAAGCACACCACCCCCAGAGGCAGCACCAACACCAGCTCCAGACCCAGGCTCTCCAGAAACCGAAGGAACACCCTCACCCCCAGACGCAGCACCCCCAGACTCCGCACCAGCACCCCCAGACTCCGCACGACCAGTACCAGCCCCCGGAAGACAAGAGTCCTCTGCAACCCGCGGCTCAGCTCCAACTCCAGCACCCCCAGAACCAGAGACCTGTACAGGGACAGTCGCAGGACCAACCTCCCGAGAGGGAGCACCTGCAGGAGGCGGCGAGGAAGACTGTGGGGAGGGAGGCTGTACAGGGGGGGCTACCGAAGGGGGAGGGCTAGCCTGAGACACACCAGACGGGGCTGGACCAGGGGGGGAGGCTGTACCGGGGGAGCAGGCGGGGGAGCGGCTGTCAGGAAGAGGGGGGGAGGAGGAACCGGGAGACCTCGACTGGGGTACCTGACGTAGTAGGGGGTGGACTCCTCGAAACGGACGTCACGGGAGTCAAAGAACCGGTGAGAGGGAGGGTGGTAAAAGGTGAAGTCAGAGGAGTCCTCAGGGAAACCAAGGAAGACACAAGAAACGGCGCGAGGCGAGAGCTTGTCCGCGGAGGTGTCGCGGACAAGAGCCAAGCACCCCCAGACACGAAACCTCGACGCGACACCAGGGGACCCTGTCCAAAGACTGGTCGGTGAAGCCTCCGGCCGAGAGACGCGTGGCCAGAGGTTCAGCTGGTGCGCGGCGTACCTGACTGCGTATGGCCACAGGAAATGGGGGGCACGGGCGTGAGTCAAGGAGGTGCGGGCAATCTCCATGACCAGGCCTATGCGACGCTCAGCAACCCCATTCTGCTGTGGGGACTCCGGAAGCGTCCAGGACTGACGAATGCCCTGTTCGCGACAGAATCCAGCGAGAATGCCGGAGCGAAACTCGCCCCCGCGGTCGGAGTGGAGACAGCTGACACGACGACCACGAGTGTCCTGGGTGGTAAGCAACCACCTGATCAGCGTAGAAGTCACCTCAGACTTCCTCGCCAGGGGGAACACTGTGGTGTAGCGGGAGTAGTCGTCAACGACCACCAAAAAGAAACGCTCACGCTCAGGGCCAGGGCGAGGAGAGGGGCCCCAGACGTCCAAGTGCAGTGTCTCAAAAGGCTCGGTGGCCGGACGAAGGGAGGAGGAGTGAGGGGTGGCACGCAGCCTACCCTCGACGCAAGGACCGCACGGTGGTGCAAGGGACGGCGGCAGCGACGGCAAGACACGCGGGAGACCTAAGACCAGACGCTGACTAGACATAGCACGCAGACGTGGAAGAGAAGGGTGTCCCAGCCGGTGGTGCCACAGAACGGTGGGGTGGGCAAGCGACCGACAGGAGCAAGACGCAGCGACTGGACTGGACGCGACAACCTGAGAGGACGGAACCACCTGGTGAGACGCAGGGAGGAGACTAGGGGGAGGGACAGGAACTGGGAGGAGTGGCTGCTGCGACGGCGGCCGCTGTGGCTGCGGCTGCTGCTGCTGCCGCTGCTGCTGCTGCGGCTGCTGCTGCTGCTGCTGCTGCGGCTGCTGCTGCTGCTGCAGTCGCTGCTGAGCGCGCGGGCCAGTGTGAAGAGTGTAGAGACCGGAGCCCGGCTCAGCAGCAAAAGTGGCGAGGGGCTGGTAAGAGTCCCCGTCAACACACACCGCAGTCTCTCCAGAAGGCTCAAACCACACACCCACGTGCTGACTCACAAGGGGTCGCACGCCCACCAAGTTCCGGGAGAACGAGGGGACGTGAAACCCAGTGAGAGACCCAGAAGGAGCAGCCGGACACGGCAAGGTGGTAGTGTGACGCGCGGTGACTGGTCCCGAAGTGGGATCAGCCAGCGCCACAGAAACAGGCGCAGGAAGAGGCGTAAGTGTCGTGCTGTCACGAAAGAAGCAGTGAGAGGCTCCAGAGTCCAGCGTGAACGACAGCGAACCGTCCTCTGAGGTAGCCGCTGGACTAGAGTCTACACAAGAACCTACACTAGCAACAGGCAACTGAGCAAGGCTAGCACCTAAGCTAACAACACCAGAGTAAGCAGAGTCAGAAACACTAGAGTCAACAACAGCATACATAGCATGAGGAGCACCAATCAGATCAACTAACTGCTCAGCAGACATGCCCCACAGAGCGGAGCCGTAGCGCTGAACCAGAGGAAGCCAGTCAAGGGCAGGACCGCCAACCCCGTAGGCCAACCGGACCGTGTCAGTGAGCTGAGCAAAGCACTGACCAGGGGGGTGAAAGCGGCCACAAGGGTGGCCCCGACGAGGACCTGTCAGAACCTGATAGGTGCAGGGAGGGTAAGCAGCACCACGCTGGGGCTGACGCAGCCCCGACCCCGGAGCCAGCTGCTGACGCTGCTGCTGCTGAGGCTGCTGGGAGGAGAGGGGCTGCTGGTGCTGCTGAAGCCGCTGCTGACGCTGAGCCTGGTACCACGCCGCTGCTCCACCTAGCGGGGCCGGCAGTACAGGAGACGACTGACGAGCTCGGGCGTCGCCACCACCAGCAGGCGCAGTGGAGTCACCAGCCGCTGCACGAGAGGTCTCTCCAGACGCTGCACTCCCACCACCGCCAGTCGCAACAGCACCCCCACTACCTCCGCTACATCAGCCTCCACCTCCACCAGAACCACCTTTCTTGCCCCCCTTGCCGCGGGACCGCGACGCAGTCGTAGCAGCAGCTGCAGTCGCGTCAGTAGCGGCAGTGGCAAGAGAGGCAGTGAAGGTGGGTAACTGCGGGACTGTGCACCCGTGGAAGAGTGGGGGGGGCACAGCACCAGAGGCGGCAGCTACCGAGCGAAGGTTGCTCTCGACGTCCTTGAGCGCAGACTCAAGGACCTCAACTGTCAGCTCACTAGGGTGCTTCAGCAGGAGCGCGTCACGTACGGAGGCAAGGCGGTCAGGGAGGCTAGTGGCGATGAAATAGATAGTAATCGCCATGGGGGGAGGAAGCAGTGCAAGCTGTGCCTCAGTGCAAGCAGCGCGGTAACTAGCGTCGAGCGAGCGGAGGTGAGCGATCAAGTCAGCAGAGCGCTCAAACGAGGCGAGATCAGGAAACAGGAACGGGAGGAAAAGACGGCCAAGAGAGACAGTAGCGGGAGTAGAGTAGCGGGCCTTAATCGCAGTGAGGTACGCAGCAGCGGTGCGAACCTGAGTGAAGTGGACCTCCTCTGACTCAGGGAGGAGGCTGCTGAGTGCGATGCAGGCCGCAGCGTCACGTGACGTCCAAGCCGTCCTGTCAGCGCGCTGACGGGCAAAGCGAGCCGTAGCAGCATCGTCAGGGGCAGGACCTAAAGCGGCAGGCTCGGGGGGCTCGGGGAGGTCACCAGTAGCGTGCGACCAGAGGGTCTCGCCCCCCTGGACTTGACTCTCTAACAGACGGCGAGCGCGAAGGAGCCAGACGGAAAAGTCAAGAGGTCTACCGTCAGCGTCGAAACGAAGAACTCGCGGAGTCGCCATAGCGAAAACTAACGCGAACGAGCAGGCGAGTAACAGCAGGAGGTAAGAGGCAAATTAGGGTGCAGGTGGGACTTAGTCGCAGCGGAAGAGCGGGCTAGAGCGACGGGCCAGGGCGTAGGGTCGACGGGACGGGGGAAAGGGCGGGCACGATGCGACGGGGCAGGGCGACGCGACGGGGGAGGGCGACGCGACGGGGGAGGGCGACGCGACGGGGGAGGGCGACGGGACGGAGAAGAGGACGGGACGGGGCAGGGGCGACGGGACGGGACGGGGACGGGACGGGGCAGGGGCGACGGGACGGGACGGGGCGACGGGACGGGACGGGGCAGGGCGACGGGACGGGACGGGGACGGGGACGGGACGGGGCAGGGGCGACGGGACGGGACGGGGACGGGACGGGGCAGGGGCGACGGGACGGGACGGGGCGACGGGACGGGACGGGGCAAGGCGACGGGACGGGGCAGGGCGACGGGACGGGGCAGGGCGACGTGACGGGGGGAAAGGGCGCGACGCGACGGTGGGAAAGGGCGCGACGCGACGGGGGGAAAGAGCGCGACGCGACGGGGGGAAAGGGCGCGACTCGACGGGGGGGAACGGGCGCGACGCAACGGGGGGAAAGGGCGCGACGTGACGGGGGGGGAAAGGGCGCTAGGCGACGGGGGGAAGGGCGCTAGGCTCGGCACTAGGCGCGGTAACAACGGAACCGGTACGAACGAGAGGTAGGATCAGGCTCGGGAGATACGAACGGAGAACGGAGGAACGGGATCCCACAGGATCCTAACCTAACTGATACCATGTCAAAATGAGGAATGGATGGTGCATTGATGTTGGTTGGGGTACATATAGCTAACCCTAAGTTTTGTACCCCCTAAGACAAACCTCACTATAGGCTACAACATTTGACAGTTCTCCATGACGTGGCGTCCCAGGCAGTGGTTGCCGAAGTGGCACCTTCGCAACATCCACACTCATTATGAGGAACTCTTTTTCAAGAAGTACGGAAAATATTTCTAAGTAGTTTAAAAAGTTTCCATTTATAAGATTTATAAGACACCCTGAAGCATCCCGTTTACAAGATAACATAAGCATTTTTGCCCGTGTACGAGATAAGACATATATGTCTTATATCCGGGCGATGACGGTATGATATAAATATGATATGTATTATAATTTTGCTAGATAATAGCATCATCATTATAAAATTTCTGTTATTTCTCTATTACCAGATGGTTCGTTTTACCTTTCGCGCTTTGTGCATCACCTATTTCATTGTCTATATCCATTTACCATGTCCTCTGAACGTGTTTTATAGATATCTTCATGTCCTTCTGATTCTGTATTACGCGTTGGTGGTGTAGCTTGTCGGATATATGTTTATCTGCGGGGAGAACCCCAGTGCTGAACTAGTCTTCCAATTCCCGCCAAATTTTGAAATGGCGGTTTGCTGACGTGTGGCAGGTATGATCTAGAGGTTGCCAGAGCCCTAGGTTCCCGCCATGCGACGCGAGTCATCTCCTGCCCTCATCTCATCTGCTGTCGGGTGCTGCTGAAGAACCTGAACTTCCAGTGGACTCCGGAAAACCAAGTCAGCTGCACCAATTGCTATCACACCCTGAAATTACTTTACTCTGTTTGTTAGTCCTCTCCGCTGCTTGTCTAATCATGCAAATCGCGACGTGTCACTACGTAGCTGAGTAAGATATGTTTTCCTACGTCAATACCTCGTCGAACAACGCGTAACACAAAGCCTTCCTGGCTGACGCCTTCTCCAGCCTTATCAGCAAACTCGCTTCAACATGGCGCAGTTACTTATCGACAAGGAGAACCAAGTCCCGGTAGCCATAGCAAGTACGGTTAAGGTAGAACAGAGATATGTGAATTTGGGTCCGCTGACAAAGGGAGCAGAGTCAGCAGCCTCGTGCGACTCATTATCTGCTTCTCGCACTCCGCTCGCATGTAGCGTCCCAGGGTCGCAAGTTGGCAAAGACATGACATCGTGGGAAGCAGCATTATACGAGCACGTTAGAAGCATTGTACGAGAGCAGCGAGCACTTCCTGACAGTAAACCGATACGGCAACGGAAAGAGCTTTTGTCAAACATTCGCAAGGCGCCAGATTCTCCAACTGCTTGGCTGGAATTTTTATTGAATGAAGAGAGAATAGAACGATTTAGACAGGACGCACGAGGAGCCGGAGGCCGCGAGGGATCCGTCGAGGTTCTTCAGTCGCTGTTCAGTCTCTTCGTTCTAGCCAGAGGGTTGATCCCGCTTGCCACTTATCGCCACCACGATGCGTTTGTTCGCATATGGCTGGAAAGTGCAAGGAGGTAAGCTAGCTCTCAGGCTCCGCTTTTTCCCGATGCACGCATCGCTTCGTGTCCGTACGTCGCAAGATTTTAATAAATGTGCGGTTTGTAACGTTGCAGGCAGCCCACGGACGAGGAGGAGCGCGAGACGTACAAGCACATGAAACACCACCGCATAGGCGATCGGACTGCAAGGCGGTACATCCAACAAGCCCGCTTCGAATTGCGTAGAGGTAAGGACTGCTGCAAGTCTCTTGCCGCGTGATGCGTACAGTCTCTTTGCTCACGCCCTACTCCCACCGCTACTGCAGGCAACCAGACCAAGGCGTTGGCTTTGCTTCTTCGAGGAAAAACGTGCAAGGCAGAGCCAGCGGGGGACATTGAGAACTGGGCTGCGGAGTTACAGAAGCTGGATAGGAGCGTCTCTCTCCCGTGCCATCCACGGCGGGAAATGGGAGAGGATGAGTACACGTGGTGGCGGTCGCTCAACCTGCCACTTTTAGGCCTCACACCGCCGCAAGGTCCGGAGTCGCTACACCTAACGGCGTCAACACCGTCGTCGTCTCGCACCGTTACTCCCTCCACCGGCACCTCCGCGCGTCCCCCATACCCATGGACCCGCGCCGCTCACGCCTCTCCTGCAGCCACGCCCGGCAGCAGCCCCGTGAGGTCGACCTCGCGTGCGATGCTTCCCCGCAGTCCGCGCCGAACTGACGACAGCAGGGGCAGCACTAGGTGGCGTGGATTGGCCCAGCGCAGCCCGTTTGCATCGCTGCCCCATCCCTCGGCCAACGCACCCGCTACGAACGCCACTCCTCGTGCCGAGATGCCTGCCACTCCGTTTGCTGAAGCTCCCGCTGTTCAAGCTCTTCCTCTCCGCGCCGCAAGCAGCAACGCAGGTCCATCTCAAGCCAGTGGCTGCGCGGCGACTGATCGCGACGCGTGGAGCCATGGCGGGAGCCGCCTCGTGACGCCGCAGTCCAAGGCCAAGGATGAAACGCCAGTGCGACCCCACGAGGCGGCGCGTGACGCGCGCATACAGGCGGGGGTGGCGCAGCCAAGCACAGTGCCGTGTGCGGTCAAGTCGCCGCTGGCAGGGGAAGCCATGTGCGCGTTCCGCGCGCTCAGGAGGAAACGCGCAATGCAAACGGAGCAGGCCGCGGTTACCACGGACACGGGGACGGCGGAGGCGAAGGAGCGCGCACGTGGGGATGTGACGCCGGGCGCGAAGCGCAAGTTGGACGACGGGTGCGGCAGCGCGGGGTCACGGGAAGTGGTGGAGGGCAGTGCGCGGAAGATGGAAGGTGCGTGAGTGTTGGACTGAGGATTTCATGGCGGGGACTGCAGGCTGGTATAAAGATGCTCGGTTGAGGCTTCTAGCAGTGGCCACCCACCATGTGCGCACACCACGTGTGACTCACACTCGTTGCTCCCCTTTCCCCGTCTCTCGCCCACCAGGCACCCTCGCCATGCCCATGCCCCCTCCCAAGCGCGCAAGGCATCACGATCAACCCAACGTGCACTCGCCGTTCCCCCGCGCAATGGCCTCCGCATCCGCGCGTGGCCCCACCGCCCCTGCCGTTGCGGCTGCTGGCGCATCGCATGGGGGGGCGCCAGTGGCGTGGCAGAGGGAGGAGCACGCGGGGGGGCCGGGAGCGGGGAGCGAGGCAGAGGATGTGGAGATGGCGGACGCCATGGACGACGACGCCACTCCCCCCGCCGCGCAGCCGCACGCCGAGTGGAAGGAGCGTGAGAATGGGGATAGTAAGGGCGTGGGCGTGGGCGCAGGGTGGAAGCAGGGCGCAGACGATTCGTCGGGCGCAGGTGGAGGGGGCGCAGCTGCGACTGGCGCAGTGGTTCCATGGCGCAGCGAAGCGGCGGGACCGGGGGGGGAGGGGACGGGGAGCGCGGATGCGAGGTGCGGAGCGGTGAGGGAGGAGGAGGGCGGGGTGTGGCTGAACGGGCGGTGGTACAGCAAGGTGAAGGTGGCGGGCAAGGGCGGCAGCTCCGAGGTGTTCAAAGTGGTGGCGCGCGACGGGCAGGAGTTCGCGCTGAAGCGCATCCGCGCGGAGGGCGGCGCGATGGAGGAGTTCAAGCAGGAGATTTCCATCCTCACGCGCCTGCGTGGCCACAGGGGCATCATCCACCTCTTCGACTCCGCTGTGAGCGCCGGGGGAGAGCCATGGGGAGGCGCGTGTGTGTGGGTTGGCTGGGGGAGTGTGAAGGGCACCATGGCCACGTGTGGTTTTGCTGTCGGGAAGCGCTGCCATGCGCCTCCGCAATATTCTCTGCAGCGCGCGCCAGGGGTTCTCATTTGCTGTCCCCGTGCCATGGACACGTGCGTGTGCGTGTGCGTGTGCGTGTGCGTGTGCGTGTGCGTGCAGGTGTGCGAGGGCGAGCAGGCGATCTACCTGCTGCTGGAGTTCGGCGAGATCGACCTGGCGAAGAAGCTCGCCAAGCTGCACAGGGAGGCCGACCTCCCGCACGCCGCCCCCACCGTGCTCGCCACCGGTTGCAAGATAGACGAAACCGTTTTGCGACACTTCTGGCGGGTACGCTGCTAGCACCCGCGCAAGCTCACACACACACACACACACAGGCGCACTCACACATGCACGTACACACCCATTCACTCACACAGACGTCCGTTGGCTCGCAATGCACATTCCCTTACGACTACACGTACACAGAAGAGTGTGTGTGTGCATGGTTGTGCGTGCAGGACATGCTGAGGGCGGTGGAGACGATTCACGCAGCGCGCATAGTGCACGCGGACCTGAAGCCCGCCAACTTCCTGATCATCGAGGGCGACCTCAAGCTCATCGACTTCGGCATCGCCAAGGACATCCCCAACCACACCGCCCACATCTCCCGCCATGGCTGTGTCAGTACCACTCCCTCACACGCCCCCTTCCCCTCTCTCCCTCCACCCACCATCCCATGTGAAGCACACGCTCTCCCTGCTTTTACCCTTGATTCCAGCACCCACTGCCCTCACCGATGCAGCTATAGTGCTGACCCTCCATCTCAGCTTGGTGCTGTGGTGTTGCAGGCGGGCACGGTGAGCTACATGTCACCCGAGTCCATCATGGGGCAAGACACAGACGCGGACGGCGAGGGCGCCACGAAGCCCACGGTGAAGATGGGGCGTGCAGCCGACATCTGGTCGCTGGGCTGCATCCTCTACCTCATGGTCTACGGCCGCACACCCTTCCAGCACATCCCCGGCTGGGGCAAGCTCAAGGTGACTCCTCCACCCACGCATCAATCATGCACGCATGTCATGCCATGCCGCCATGCCCGCATTGCCCTGCGCACCCGCCAGTTCATCTGTGCAAATGTCTGAATCCCACGCATGCACCAGGCTGAGGTGTCTCTCCACTCAACCTCTCCCCTCTGCTGTGTGTGTGTGGTGTGGCATGTGGAGCACGGCAGGCCATCTGTGACGAGTCGTGTGTCATTGACTTCCCTCCCCTGGCCAACCCCCACCTGCTGGACACCATGAAGCGCTGCCTCGTGCGCAACCCAGCCCACCGCATCACCATTCCCCAGCTCCTCGCCCACCCCTTTGTCTCCATCTCCACCCTCCACGCCCCGCCTGCTCTGCCGGCTCCACCCGCTTCGCCTGCTCCTGCCCTGCCTGCACTGCCGCCTCCTGACGCCACTGCTGCTGCTGCTGCCATAACTGCTGCAGCTGCTGCTGCAGCGGCTGCTGCTGCTGCTGCTGCTGCTGCTGCCTCAACTGCGGCGGAAGGTGGGGGGTCCCAGGCGAGCAGTGTGAGCGGTGGTGCAAGTGCAGAGGCAGGGGGGAATGGCATCAGTGAGAAGCTGCTGCAGGTGAGAGATGTGACCCTCGCACTCCCTCTTGTGCACCCACCACTTTGTGTTGCCACACTGCGTCCGGTTGGGCAGCAGCATCCAACCCCCAGCAGCGGCGACCACTCTCATGCACACCATGCATCAGTGCATCCCACTTGGCATTTCTGATGAAGGCATTGCTCGTGGTTTGGTCATGTGCGTGGTGTGCAGGACATCTTAGCACAAGTGGCCAAGGCCGCAGGCTCCAACCCAGCAGCCATTGGCCTGGCAACACAGGAGATCCTGAAGCAGTTGGCGTCGGGCAAGGTGAGCTCCTGCACACGCATGCCGCACATGCATGCAGTAGCCACATGCACTCAGAAGCCCTCTCTTCACTCGCTTAAACACGAAGGAATCTCACACGCCCCTCTGCTTTCCCCTTCCCTCATCCTCGCTGTGCATGTGTGGCACTGCATCAGGCGGAGGGTCTTGACATCCAGGAGATCTTTCGTGCAGCAGGCGCATTCACCCCTCCTGCCGCCCCACCTGCCCCTCCACCCAAGGCCCCCCCACCACCCCCTCCACCGCCCAAGAAAGCACCTCCTCCGCCCCCACCCCCACCCGGCAAGCCCGGGGGTAAGGCAGCGCCGTTGCTGATAAAGAAGGGCGTGAAGCCCAAGGCTGGTGGGCCCGCTGGTCCTGCTCCTGGTGACCTGGCCGCCGCTGCTGCTGCCGCTGCCAGACGAAGGGCCGAGGGCGGGGGGGTGCGGATGAGGCCTCTGCCTGAGAAGAAGGATGAGGGTGCAGGGAACATGCCCACTCTGAGGTCAGGGTTGCGCAGGGGTGGTGGGGGGCCGGGGGGGCGTGGGGGGCTGAGCACAGACCAGCTGCAGGCGGCCATTGAGACAAGTAAGGCGCGGTTGAAACCAGTGAGGAGGAACAACGATGGCACAGCGGAGAAGAAAGAGGGCAAGGAGGGAGGCGAGAAGAATAGTGCGGTGCCATGGGAAGGCATTCTGAAGAAGGGGCTGGAGGGCAGGAAGAAGGCGAACAAGGACGATGATGACACCACTGTGTGGGAGTGAGCAAGGGAAGGCTTTCAAAAGATGATGCCATCAGTCAACAATTCACTGACTGCTTATTTAAATAACTCTGCTAGTATCAATCCTAAACCCTTTTAGGTCTCTGATGAGTAGCATGGAAATACTGTGCAATGAAACAGTAAACAGTGGGTTATCTGTCAAGTGCATGCTGTTTGTAGATACTTCATACTCAATCATAAGGCCATGAAGGTCCCGTGGGTTCAAGGTTCCTAGCGCTGGAGCACACATTACGAATTCATTGCCCTCAATATTATGCTCCAAATGAAACCCCCACCTCAGGGACTGATCAGTTGTACTAAGAGCACGCATAGAAGTCACAGTAGCTCAAGCTTCATCCACACCCATGCAACATTGCAGGTGTGCGGAGGAGAGGGCCGGCAGGCAGGCGTGTGCAGGGGGCAGAGGTGCTATGCAGTGCCCAGGTACTCCACGTCGAATATGAGGTCCGACCCCGGGGGGATGCGACACACGCCTGTGCTCACACACAGCAAGGGAACCGTGTGGGTGAGAGAGGTGGGGCATGCAGAGGAGAAGAGGAGTGAAGTAAGTGTCACATGTATGCGGGAGATAACTGGGAGCAATGAAGAGAAGGAAAGGTGTGGCAATAGGTATTGTAAATGGAATTAAGTTGTGATGCACAGGAGAAGGGGCAGAGGCATAAGAGGTACGGGTGTAGTGCGTTGAGGGAAGCAGCTCACCTCCCCTGCAGCCTGCCCCTCTGCTACCATAGGCGAGGTCCGCTGGGATGCGCAGCGTGCGCTTGCCCCCTGACACACACACACAGACACACACACGTGCACAGCATGGCACAGGGAAGCTTCAAAGAGTGACGGGAAGAGAGAAGGGGAGAGAGTGAGGGAGAGATGAGAAGACCATTGGGCAAAACCATTAGTTGGAGGGAATGGGGTTGACCGACCTGCTTTCATGGGCGGGATGCCTGGCCCTCCCAGAATGCCCAGGTCCCACCCTCGGATGACCTGCCACACCGCACTCACACACGCCACCAACGCACGCACAGAGCAGAAGGGAGGACGAGGTGGGTGCGCACTGCGCTACCGCACAGCAGGGGAGCGCGGCCAGGGGTGGAGAAGCAAGAGTGGGCATGCAGTGATTGCAGGGCACTGACCTGCCCCACGCCCACGCGGAACACCAGCGGGCGCCCGCGGTTGTAGCTGCTGTCAAACTCCACGCCTGACAGCAGCCGCCCTGCGTAGTGCGCCTGAAGGGATACGGTTGCACGGCACGATGGGGTGGGGGACGGGTGGTTAGCAGAAGCACGGGGCAATGCCGCTAGCATGTGTGCCGTATGAAGCATTGCGACATGATCACACGAATCGCTGACTTGTGCCAAGACTCCTCTTTGCCTGCATTGCCGCACGCATTATCATCTTTAATGCGCACAATCCCCTATACTGCGCGCGCCAGCGTCCCGCCCATGGCGGCGCACCTGGATGCGCGTGCCAGCGCTGGCGGCGTCCCCCGTGCCCTCCACCTGGTCGCAGAACTGCAGCCCCGACGGCGTCTCCTGCAGTTCGCACTCCGCCGCCTGCGACGCGCCGGCCGCGCCGAGACTTGCGGCGGAAGCTGCGGCGAGCGCGCCGAGTAGCAGCGAGCGGCGATCGCTCAGGGCGGGAGCGCTGCTCGGCGGAGTTGGTGCGGGGAGATCCGCTGACGCTGCGCGCACGGGCTGTGGCGCTCGACGGCAAACGCCCAAGGGGGCGAGAGCGGAGGGGCGGGATAGAGGAAAGAGGGCAGTGGCGCGCATATGGGGAAGATCGGCGGAGCGCAAGCGCGCGGAGAGAGCGCCAGGGACGATGGTGGCGGGAGGCGCGAGCAGGTGCAAGGCGGCCATGGTTGGCGCAGCGGACAGCACGCTGTGCGCGCGGCAGGCGGCGACACGAGAGCGGAAAATCAGCCGCACTCGCGCAGTGTGGCAACGCGGGCAAGGCGAGCGAGAGGGTGGGGTGATGTGCACGTGGGACGAATGAAAAGAAAGCTGCTTGCAACCTGCCATATGTACCAAACCCAAAATGTCAGCATGGGCATCCACCCACACATACGCCAGTAGCTCCCATGGCTATGGTGCAACCCAGCCTCTTGCACCACAGATTCAGACACCGACACCACCGACAGACGTCGTGGCCAGCACACGCCACAAATCGTCGCGTGGATTGTCGCGCGGCGTCCTCGTAGCTTCGCATCGACACCTTGATCGTCGCGTGCCCCGCCGCACACCATGATGCGCCCCGCAGGTCCTCGCGTTCGCCGTCCGCCGTGACGCCCAGCACTGCCCGCCGTGACGCCCTGCGCGCGCCGCCCACAAGCTACGCGCTTGTGCACTCGCGCCCCTCCAGCCAAAAGCCCCTCGCGCTCCGTAATTGTCCTTCGCGAACGCGCGTCAGTAGTTCTCCCGCGGCCCCCGCGGCCCCCGCCGCCCGCAATTCAGCCAATGGCTGCGGGCTCGCCGTCTCGCTCGCCGCCTGATGCGGGCGACGCGCCACTGCAGCCGGCAGACAACTCGCCTCACGCGCTGCGACCCTTCAAGCCGCCTTCCCCCTCGGAGCCGCGCGAGGACGGTGCGCCGGGCAGCGCTGCGGTGCTGCGCTCCCCGCGGTGGACGGCGGCGCGCGTGGGCAACCTGGCGCTGCTGGCGGTGTGTTTCGCGCTGGGGTGGGCGGCGCTGTTCGTGCAGGTCGCCACCACCACCGTCGCCGCCAGGCAGTGGGGCGGCACCCCCTTCAGCACTGTGCCTTACGGTGCGTCTCCGCCGCTCACGGCGTTCGAGATAGCGCGCTTGCCGTCAGCGCGTGTTGCGCTGGACTTCGCTGCTCTCCCCCCTTCACCCCATCGCTCACTGCTTTCTGACCCTCCCGCATCCCATCCCCCCTCTCTCGTTCCCCCGCTCCCAGGCGTGTTAGCGGCGGCGCATGCTCTCTGGGCGCTCCCCGCGCAGCTGATCATCCGCGCATCGCGCTCCGCGCGTCCGTCGTTCATCGCGGGGGGCGCGCTGGGCGTCCTGGGAAACGCTCTCTTCGCGGTCGCTGCTGGCCTCGCGCACGACTCCCCCCCCGCCTCCTCCTCCTCCCCCGCGCCCGCCACGCAGCCCGCCCCCATGGCGCTGCTGTGCGCGGGCGCGCTGTGCGCGGGGCTGGCGAACGCGTACATCAACTTCCTGCGCTTCGAAGCTGCGCGCTTCGCGCCCTCCGCCGCGCTCCTGCCCACGGCGATCTCCGCCGTGGTGGCGGGGGGCGTGGTGGGCGGCGGCATGGGGCCCATCATCAGCCGCGTGACACGTGGCGTGATCCCAGGCCACGAGTTCCTGGCGACGTACCTGGTGTCGTGTGGACTGTTCCTCGCAGAGACGCTGCTCGTCGCACTCATCCCGCTGCATGGCGGCGCCAAGCGCGCTCACCCGCCAGGCACGGACAGACGCAGCTGTGGTAGCGCTGGTGATGGCGCCGGGAGCGCGAGTGGGGACAAGGAAGAGGCTATGTTAGGAGACGGACTGGGTGGGGCTGAGGATAGAAGCTGTAAGGAGGAGGCAGGGCGGCAGGAGGGGGAGAGAGCGGTTATTGTGGGGGATGGGAATGGGCAAGAGGGCGCAAAGGACGAAGGGGGCGGAGAAGGTGTTGGCGAGCTCAAGAGCAGCAGCGGGTGTGACGCTGGGCAGGACAGTGTGGGCGCGAGCAGGGCGGGTGGGTGGTGGTGCACTGGTGCCGTGGGCGCAGGGAAGGTTGGTGACGTGCACGCATGTAGCGGTGGGGTGCATGAGGTGCAGGAGGGAGGAGAGGCGCATGGCAGCACGCAGAGAGAGTGGGATAATGCGCGGCGCACGGACATGACCATTGCGTGTGATGGCGATGGAAATGGCGATGGGAAGGAAATGGTGGGGCGAGAAGTGGAGGCAGGGCCGGGGAGGGAGGAAGGCGAGGCGGTGGTGGTGCTGGTGGGTGCAGGGAAGGGAGGCGAGAGTAGTGGGAGCACAGCAGCAGTGGAGGAGGAGCAGGGCAGGAGGCGGTGGTATGAGGTGATGCGCCAGCCGGGTGTGGTGGTGGCGGTGACAGCGGCAACAGTGGCGTATGCAGGCATGGCGACCATCATGCTCACTGCCGTCATTGCCATGCTCGCCGTGCAACCAGGTGCACATGCGTGCTGCCAGGGGACGTGGGAACCTCATGCTCGCACCTCACCTCACAGTTGCTCTATCCAATCAGTGCAACGGTATGCTTTGCGTTCATGGTGTGTGTGTGCGCGCATGTGTGTGTGTGCAGGCACGGGCGATGTGGAGCTACAGGGCCAGTTGGGGGGAGTGATTTCTTTTGCCGACACCAGCAACGTCATTCTCGTGCATGTTGAGGTCAGCACCCTCCCCTCACTCCCTGTCATACTTACTCTACCTCTCGACGCCTTCTCACCACTAGCTACCTCGCACCTCCACCCTTTCCGCCCTGCCATCAGCAAGTCTGCCCATTCTCTTCCCCACCTCTCTCTTCCCTCCGATGTCTCCCCAATGTCCCCCGCCCCCTGGCTGCAGGCCATGTTTGTGCCGTCATTCTTCACGCCGGCCATCATAGCAGCGCTGGGCAGTGACGGCGCCATGCTGCTGGGCTTCATGGTGCTGCTTGCCTCGCAGCTCGCTCTACTGGCGGGCACCAGCCTGCCGCTCTTCTGCCTGTGCCTGGCCGTGCTGGGCCTGGGCTGGAACGTCGCCTTTGTGGGCGCCACCGCACTGCTCGCCACCACCTACCGCCCACACGAGAAAGACATGGTCCGCCCCTCGCCTTGCCCTCCCAATCCGTGCTCTCCACTCCTCTTTTCCCAACCGTCTGTCTCATTGCACACTCCTCATGTCAAAGAAACCTTGTGACACTGCCACCCCATTGTTCCTTCCCTGCCTTCTTCACCCCTGCCTCCTCTGACTGCATCCCTCCTTTCCCCCCACCCTGACCTCTGACCTGATACGGAGAGCAGGTGCAGGGCATCAACGACGGCATAGTGTTTGGAGTGAACACCATCGTGGCGTCCACTGCCAGTGCCGTGCTGCAGAGCATCAACAGCTGGCCCACCTTCCTCCTCATCTACTCCCTCGCCTCCTCCCCCGCCCTCTTCCTCACTCTCGCCTTCTGGCTCGCGCGCCGCCACTTGCTGCCATTCCATTGGCCAGGAGTCACTCCCTCTGCTCCGCCCCTGTTGCCAGCACCATCATGTGCGCCGCCAGCCAGGCAAGCATGTGGTGTATGGGGAGGGAAGGGGAAGCAGCTGGTGAGGTCACTGTCGCAACGGCTTGGAGTGAGTGGGAGGGTGGCAGGGATGAAATGGGGATGAATCGAGCGGATGCTGTACGGATCAAGATGTGGTTGGTACGAATGCTGTTGCAGTCTGTTGATGTACGGTAGATGGTCCGGTGGCTGATAGTGTGCCTCAACCTAGACTATCATGGCTTTTTCTGAAGCCAGTGGAAGCAAAGGTACTTACGGTACATGCTCCAGTGTACATTTTTCTCGTGCAATTGCTACTTGCATGAGGACACCATGGAGGAGCCATTGCAGAAAGGATATGTGACCAGGCCGTCCAAACCCGAAGTAGTTCTCAATTTCAATGGAGAGCTGGCCAGAAAGAGCACACTATGCTGATGATGGAGTTCACTGCCCCGCAGTGTGCATGTGCCCTCGCCACTACAGGTATCACTTGTTTGTGTGCAGGTTTCGTGTGTGTCACCTCACCACTGTCACTTGCACCTTATCAGTGAGTGTTTGCCTCTCATGCCAGCTGCACCTCACACTCACTCAGCAACGTGAAAGAGGGGTTGGCCTGTGGAAGGCAAGTCCTCATACGAACCACCACTCAGCACACCATGGGGCAAGGCGTCATGCAACACACAGCACGTGCAGGAGGACTCTCCCTCCTGCTTGAGTGTTTATGTCCCAGTGCCTTCCAGGCTGCCTGCCCTGTGCCCACCCCGCCCAGATGTTCTACGACATGCGAATCCAAACCACCACGGCACAGCGCAACACCTAACCACACCACACCTAATTAAATAAATCTAAAGCTAAGTACAGCTACAGACAGCTCAGGACGGCAGCGGGCCATCTTGAACTCGTGGTGGTTCACCATCGTTAGGCACGCCACGTGCCCTCCTCTCTTTTCCTGCACATCACCACAACGGAGCCACTTATCAGGATGGCAATCTAATAACATGGAAGAAATCGGAGGAAAGAGAATAGACAGCCACTTACAAACTGGAAAAAGAGCATCAGCAGAAGTGAAGCTGACTGAAATACACAAAATGGTTGTGAATCGTGTCAGCAACTCCGCCCTTCAGAAACTTCCATCACCTACCATATAGAATATGCAGCACTGCTGTTGCTGCCACTGCTATTCCCGCGGCTGTTGCCATAGACAGGAACGGGTGATGGAGGGGGGCGAAAGGCGAGGGCGCCATATTGAAGGAGATGGGACACAGGAAGAGGGGAGGACGAGCAATATAAGGAGAAGGATGAAGGGGAATGAGCAAACCATCAAAGCCTGGACAACACCGCAAGGAATTTTAAATAATCAACACTTGGAGGGAACTCATAAGCATTAGGGGTAACATGTGCTCACCACTCCAGTGCTGCAGTCACAATCACTGCAGCGGTCATTGATGATGCAGCTACAGCTTCCACCGCTGCTGCTGCTGCTGCTGCTGCTGCTGCTGGCACTGCTGCTCATACTATGGTGCCGGATGGAAGGATTTTCCCTTCTGGTGATGGAGGAGAGGAGAGCAGAGAAGAGGAGCGGGACGAAAGGACGAGATTGAGGGCTGAGCAAAGGGGCATGCGATGTTGGCAACACGCTACAGTAGAAAAGTCATATCAGCACCGTAGGAAGATGGTACAACAAAAGCATGAAACGGCAAAAGCACACTTCTTCATCTTAACTGCTGCTGCGTCTTCAGTCTCTTTACCTCTTAAAATTGGGCAAGCAGCCTCCCAAGAACAATCTGCCACGCATGCAGGGCATGGAGGCAGAGCGACTAAAAGTACAGATGAGAAAATACTAACCTGAAAAGCGAATGCACCGTTACTGCCCCTTCACCGTGCTGGACGGCTGACTCTCGTGCGAGCAGCAACGGCAGCCCCGTCCATTCCCCGTCCACTCGCTGCCACTCCCGTCCGCCTCGCAGGCCGTGAGGCACACACACGCATGGGGAGAGAGACAGGCACACAGAGACGGCGCAACAAGGGAGGGTTAGAAGCAGCAGGAGGCGAAAGGTGGAGCAACAGACACGACTGTTGCCTCTGCGCGGCGACGCCTTATGACTCATTTCACTGCCCCCCTTGCAAGCATCCCCTGGCACGTACCACGCTCCATCCGCCGCTCTGCCACTCCTGCGCCACGCCTTCACTTGAGGCGTGCTGCTCCAGGCTGCCTCTCGTGCGAGCCAGCAACGGCAGCCCCGTCCATTCCCCGTCCACTCGCTGCCACTCCCGTCCGCCTCGCAGGCCGTGAGGAACACACACTCATGGAGGGAGAGACAGGCACACAGCGGCGGCGCAACAAGGGAGGGTTAGAAGCAGCAGGAGGCGAAAGGTGGAGGAACAGACACGACTGTTGCCTCTGCGCGGCGACGCCTTATGACTCATTTCACTGCCCCCCTTGCAAGCATCCCCTGGCACGTACCACGCTCCATCCGCCGCTCTGCCACTCCTGCGCCACGCCTTCACTTGAGGCGTGCTGCTCCAGGCTGCCTCTCGTGCGAGCCAGCAACGGCAGCCCCGTCCATTCCCCGTCCACTCGCTGCCACTCCCGTCCGCCTCGCAGGCCGTGAGGCACACACCACATGGGGAGAGAGACAGGCACACAGAGACGGCGCAACAAGGGAGGGTTAGAAGCAGCAGGAGGCGAAAGGTGGAGCAACAGACACGACTGTTGCCTCTGCGCGGCGACGCCCTACGACTCAATTCATTTCCCCCCTTGCAAGCAACCCCTGGAACGTACCATGTTTCGTCCGCCGCTTTGCCACTCCTGCGTCCTGCTGCTGCCCGTTCTCCAGGTATATCAGTTGCTTTCGCTGCCGCTGCCGCTGCTGCTGTTGCTAGTGCTGCTGCTGCTGTTGCTGCTGCAGTCGTTGCTCACGTCGCGACCAACATTGCGTCGTTGCCCCTGACGCTCCATCGAAACACACTGATGCTCGCACGGCCGCGCTAAGCGGCAGAGACGTCGCTTTGACCGCGGAAATAGCAGCGACGTTGCGTTGACGACGAAAACAGTAGCGCGGTTGCTCTGACGGCGCAATCAGCAACAGAAATTCTTGGACGCCGGAAACGGCAGCGAATTTGTTTTCTATGGTAGGAACAGCAGCGACGTCGCTTTGTCGGCAGGAGCGGCAGGTAGGCGTTGACGGCTAAAGCCGCGAAGACGTTGCTATTCTGGCGGATGCAGCAGGAAAGCTCAGCGTCTAAAGCAGCGACAACGTTTCTTCTCTGGCGGAAATAGCGGCTGTGTCCTGCGCGATGACGTAAACAGCAGCGACGCTGTAATGACGGCGAGACACAGCAACGTCGCTAATATTTCTCCTACACTGCTGCTCACTGGAGATGTCTGATACGCGACTCCGCGATGGCGACGAGACGGTTGATGCACCGGTGGCGTTGCCTTGGCGGCTTGCTAATCGTCTCAGCTGGATCTCCTTCTGAACCAGCAATTTAACGCCTCAACGTTGTATCCGCCTCAACTGGAACCCCGTCTGAACAAGCGACTTAGCGTCGTATCCGCCTCCTTAAGATCAGATCCAAATTAACAAGCGTACGATCCGTCTCGTCTGAACCAGCAACACGTTGTATTCGCCTTAGCTTGGAATCAGATCCATCGTAACTGACTACAATACCTTCTAATCTAGGAATCCCACTTCGCCACGACTTGACACCGACCTAACTACGTTAGGCTTAGATTGGCATTCATATAACTATCGATTGTCACGCATAGTGGCGGCTAACGTTCTGTGAGCAAACTTGACGTTAGCGCAGGTGCGTGAGAGAGCTATAGGCTAGTGTGACAAGCAGCTCACATAATTGACCTGGAACTCTGAGACGAGGTAGGAAAACGGCAGGCCTGAAAGATAGTGGAAGTGTGAAGCAAAGAAGCGAAGAATGGCGGTGAGTAGAACCTTTGGTTGATGCCGCCGAGGAGAAAGCAAGGTGACATTCCCCGCCAACGCTCCAAGTAAGGCGGCAAAGCGGCGGAATTCCGACAAATTTCGTTCCGTGCCAATTTGGCTCATGGCCTCCGTCCGAAACCTGGAGCCATTTCATGTGACTGAGCGGGAGCGCAAAAGGGGTGAGGCTTTCGGATCATCAGCGTGCGAAGCGGGTTGGCTGGCCGAAGCAGTTGCCGTCTCAGTCAGAGTGCAAGTTTGAATTTTTCGGGGGGAAACTGGAGGCTCGGTGCGATATCAGACGAGGTTCGGACGAGGTTCAGACCGAAGATATCAGCTTCGTTTTCCCATTTTGGCGGGGGTGTTGGAGGTCAAGTTGCTCTAACGCGGAAGGTACACACTGCTACAATGTAAAAAAGGAGGGTGCATTCACATATGATATTAGCAAGGCAAACAATATTGACAAAATGCATAGAAATAGATGCCAGAGCAACCACAAGTGTTCAGCCCAGACTGCAAGGCAAACAATATTGACAAAATGCATAGAAATAGATGCCAGAGCAGCCACAAGTGTTCAGCCCAGACTGCAAGGTTCCCTCCTCGCATGCTGAAGGAGCGAGCTAACATGCGCACACTGCAGAGCAGAGATTGCTCCTGCAGGGGCAGTCATGACGGCTCATGTATGTGCAGGTGGACACTGCCACTCTAGGGAAGCACAACTGCGCAAGGGGACAGGGCCTACGGTATCAACAAGCAACACTACCTAACGTATGAGCCTCATAAGCGATACCTAGTAATATACACCGCCACATTGCTAATCTAGACTATGCGCCACTGTTTAACACACACCCTTTGCTCCAACCCTGAGCTCCTCCTCCATCTCAGGTACCTGCGGCCATGGTTACAGCTGCCGCTGCTGCACACCGTGACACTACCACCTGGAGATTACACGCGCCCGCTCAAGCCCATCTCCCGCGTTCCCAGTCTTGCCCCTGCCATCAGTCCCTGATCTTGCGTGCGGCTCGCTCAAGCCACTGTTCAAGGAAGGCGGCCATGTCAAGCCAGGCGTTGTAGCGGCCGCCGCAGTGCGAGAGCCACAGGTCCATCACCTCCTCCTGCTGCGCCGACGGCAGCGTCAGAATCACCTGCCCCAGCATCTCGCCCAGCAGCCGCCCCCGCTCGCGCGAGAACACGGCCGGCAGGCGGGGAATGGTGGTCAGCACGGGCAGCCACAGCTTCACAAGCGCCGCCCGAGTGTTCGTGGGGATGATGGCGTGCCCTCCCACCATCAGGGTTAGTAGCCGCAGAATGATAGGGAGCAACGGATCGTACATGGCGGCTTCCGCGCGATTATCTCTATGAGTGAAGTACTCGACGTGTCTCACGAAGCCTTGGTCCTCGCTGAGCCACTTAATTATGTACTCCGCAAACCCTAACCGGTCCACCATGGTGCCCATGAGCCACGCCACGTTGTCCATTTCAACTGCGAACTTCGCGGCGAGCTCCTTGGACGACTCGGCCGCCATGTCCACGAAGTGCATCACGCCGCCTCCCCCCGCCGCCTCCTCCACCACGCACGCCTGAACGCGATCTATCAACTCGTCCAGCTGCTCGAATAGCACGCGCTTCCGCACTTCAGCGCGCAGCGAGCCGCTCGTGAAGAGCTTTTCCACGGAAGCGCGCCACATGGCCTTCGACTGCGGGTCTGCTGGAGGCACTGCGTCCGCGCGCGCCACGGCCTGAGACACGAGCTTCTTGAGAACGTTATAGACCGCTTCGGCGCTTGTTGGTCCGAGACGCGCGAGAACACGTAGTCCGCCCTTGGTTTGGTCCATGCCGAGGCGGGCGAGGACATTAACTACCTCAACCTCCTCGTCTGTGGACCACGGTACGGCCTCCAGGTATCGCAGGCACGCGTTAATACCGTCATCGAATTGCAGGTCCGCGGCTACCTGGAGAATTTTGAGAGCCTTGCTGACGCTCGTTATTTCCGCTTTAGGGTCCTTCCCGTCCAATAGTCGTAGCGTGGCTTCGTACGAGCTGACGTCCGCGACGTAATCGCTGACCATGAGCTGAACATGCGGCTCCTCCGCCGGCGTGCCGCTGCCGCTAGACACGCTGCCGGCGACCGAGCCAGACGCCGCGGACGGCTTGGCAGAGGCGGAGGAATGCAGGGGAGCGAGAGCGGGCGAGGCGTTGCTGGAGCTGATGGAGGTGGCGACGAGGTCGTTCCAGTGGTCCGACAGCGAGTCCGCCAACAGCTTGCTCTCTGCTAGCGCCGTGTCGGACAGAGACATGGAGCAGATAGCCCTACTGCCGCCCTTCTCGCACACAGACACGCGGATAGACTTGCGGTGCTGCTGTAGCGGGTTCTTGTGACGCGGCTCTAGCTCCAGCGGAGCCATTGTTTCACTAAGAGTTAGACGTTTGGTGTCGGCTTTTGGAATTGGGGACGCCATGGTGGAGGAAGACCGGGAGGTCGCTGGTTTCATGAACTACATAACGCAAAAATGGTGGACGATGTTTGAGGAGGCACTATGAATGAAGAGAAGTGATTGATGGATGATACAGTTCACGGCATAAGCACGAATCTCGCGGGGTTTGGATGGAAGTGGACAGAGAGGTGTTCTGCTGCTGTGCTGCTGTGCCCCCGCAGCTGATAGCTGTGCTGGCAGAGGGCTTCGCTTCTCGGCCGCAACTGGGACGAACGGGGGGACCGACTGCCGCAACCTGGCAGGCCTCTCACGGGAGGTTGGGCATTCCCCATGGACGGACCGATCGACAAGCTGAGGCCAATCGCATCAGCGCGCAGCAGCCTACCGCGCAGGCTTGGCAAGGTCTCTCGGTGCCTTCGCAGCACCACACCACCACCACCATCTGTCCCGAACCACACCAGCCCCGGCTAGCTGACATGACGGGCTTGAGGCTGTCGTGTGCCGAGAGAGACACGGTTGTTCGCAAAAGTGTTCGTTTGCTGCCTGTGAGGGGGAAGTGTCGCGAGTCAAGACTGCAGGTGTGGATGCTTCGCGAAGCCTTGGCGAAAAGAGCTGATCACCATCTCCAGCAGTCATCATCATGTTCCCCCAATCCCCGCAATATCCAGGGCCGCCAGATTGCAAGACGCCTCGTCTGGTTCGGAAAAGACCGTCTGGTTACTTGCCGTTCCGTAACATTGGTGGAAAAAAAATGAACACCTCATTGTAAAGACCAACTACCGGTATCTATTTGAGGGGATCCTTTTTTCCTTCTAATCGCAATCACTGGAGCTCACAGATTTTTAGGCTAGCAAAAAGGCATTCCACTCGATCACATTCAAACCACAATGCACAACAAAACCGTGCCCCTAGTAAATGATCATCGATCAACTTCAGGCCTCCTTTTGGACCACTCCAGCTGCAGCAATCTGCTTCCTAACTTCTTCACATTCGTCTTTCAGCCTTTGGTGAACAGCCTTCAACGCTTTCAGCTGCTCCTCTGTTCTTGATGCTTGTTCCAGCACACTTCTGTTCGTCTGGCGAAGCTGTGAAGTCTGCAAGGGTCCAAGGGAGCACATGGCGATGTCATGAGACCCAGCCACCATAAGCTACCAGCTACCAACAACACAGCCAACACCACATGGACTCAAGCAGAACGCACGCGCACACACACTCACATGCACGCACGCACGCACCCACACCCCACCCCCCCCCCCCCACCCACACACACACACACCACACACACACACACAACATGAGCCCCTCACCTCTTCATGAAGCCGATCCATCATATCTTGTCTGCGCATTCGACTCCGTCTAGCAGATTCGCGATTTGACTCCTTTCTGCAGTTCAAAGCAGATGTGTTGTCTGTTAAGACTCTTGCTGTTTAGGTGAATACGGGCAGTAAAAGGGCCTTTCTTGGCATGAATGAAAGAGCAATATCTCACCTTTTGACTTCCTTTTCATCGCCTGAACTTGCATGGTCTCCCTTGGTCCCCTGCTTTAGTTCCGTGACCTGGTGCGGCGCATCTTGTCCCACTTCTGTGTCCCCATCTCTTGCAGCAAACTTGTCAACAGGACTGAGAGCTGTTCGCTTTGTGAACTCTGCAGCACCGCCATCTTTGTGTTGCCAAAGAAGCCCCCCGGTTGAGGGCCCAGCAACACCAGCATGCTCGTTTGCCTCCCATGGCATAGCACGGTCCACTATCGGAAAAGGCACAGAGTATGCATCCACTTCTTGCTGTTGCTGGAGCTGGTTTCGCTGCCAATGCAGAGGGTGAACGTGGCCGGCGGGCGTCGAGAGCCATGGGGGGAGCTCAACGTTAGCTGCTGCTCGTGGCATGGACAGCCATGGGCCTGAAGTCTGCCCCAGTTCAAGCTCTTCCCTATCCCATGTCCTCGCGCCACCACAAGTGCATCCTTCCTCCTCGCTGCCCCCGCACTCCAAACCCACTGCTCCTACTCGGAACCCACACCCCATCATACCCGCGTCCACGCCCATCCCCATGCCGAGTATGTGAGGGTAGGGAGCTACCTGGGGTGGTGCAAGCAGCGGCGAGTGGAGGAAGCGCGCACTGGCGCATGCCATGGTGGGCAGCTGGTGGGCGGCCGGGGGGAGCACGGCCTCCAAATCCGGACTGCTGCTGCTGTTGCCCATCTTGCCACCAAGCCCCGCCCAGTGGGGGTCAGTTGCTGCTGCGGCAGCTGAAAAGGGCGAGGCTGCAATGGCAGATGGAAGGTAGGTTGCGGGGGGCGGCATACAGGGTGCGCCGTGCATGGAGTCAGGCGGCGGGCAGCAGCACGGAGAGCACAGCGATGAGTAGCCGTTGGCGTCCACCCCGTCACACTGACACGGCACAACTGTTTCCGCCAGTGGCGACGCAGTCGGAGGAGAACCGGCCGGAGAAGACAGTTGCGGCGCGCCGAAGCGGTCGGGGGTAGCGGAAACATCTGGGAGGCAGCGAGATGGCTCGAGCGGCACTTGATCCGAAGGAATGGCGATACCAGCTGAAGAGCGAGAGTGGGGAAGGTTGGCTCGCGTGGGGTGCGGAAGAGGCGATGCTGCGCGATGCGGCGACCCTGCGCGCATGTGCTCCAAGCGCGGCTTACTACCAGCACTGCACGGTTGCGTTGCTAGTGCGGCGACTTCTCCTTTCCGTGGTCTGGAAACACGTGAAGGAAGCAACACAGAGGTGCAAAGAGGGGGAAGGACAAGCGGGAGTTGAGTGAGAAATGTCAAATCTGCGTACAAGAAGCAACACGGAAAACACATTCCGAGGCCGGACGTTATACTTTTTGGTGGGAGGCGCAGTTTTGAGTCCGATGACGCATTTGATGTCCGCCATAGTTAGCCGCATGGACGCGGGGAGCGGCCGAGGACGGCAGCTCGACGGCCTGCCGGGTGTTGCGGCAATGGCTGCGATACCCTTGCTCGTGTCACCGGGGTGCGCGACTGGAGCGCGCTCCACGTCGTTGGCAATCGGATTGTCGGCGGAAAACCGCGGGTTTGCGCCTTCTGTGCAGTCCGCGCAGGCCCCGCAACTCTCAGGTGGCGCCCCTTGAATGGGGAGGCGAAGCGTGGGAGCCGCAACGCCGCAGCGCTCGCCGTCGCAGCAGTCACTGCTGCTCGCGCCCGAGTTGGTGCCACCAGCGTCCAGACGCCGCTTGCGAGTCGACACGGAAGTCACAGGAGTGCTTAAGTGACGCGCGTCGTCTTGAGGTGTTGCATCCCATTGCGACAGAAGCACCTCGCCATCGCTGGTAGACATCAGGGGGTCGTTTGAGCGGAAATCCGCGGAAGGCTTTTCTTCTTCCATCGCCTCCATGGCATCCGAGATGCATGCGTAAGGAGATGAGGGTGGGAATAGGGATGGCAAGGACTGAGTGAGCGCGGAGATGGGCGAAGACGGGCACCAGTCGAAGCATTCCAAGTCATCGCAAGTCCCTGCCGACGGAGCAACCACGGCAGGCTTTTCGGCCTGGTAAAACGCCTTAACAAGCATCAAATGGCTCTCCGTTAAAGCGGCAACGGACGCAGATTTGAGCACGTTGGAATCAGACGTCATCTGCACTTCCTCCTCAAGCACATCTACCCCAGCTCGCGGGCTTTCAGCTGCCAGCGCCGTTTCACGGACTTGCATGCAGCGTAAGGATTTGGTCTAGCAACTGAGGAGCAGATAACGAAAAAAACGAAGGGTTGTATGAAATGAGCTGAGAAGTGTATTTCATCCTCCAGAAAGTGTTAGTCGACGAACTGTTTGTATGAAATCATGAACCCCCCTACCCGCCCCGCACTCAACGATCCCGCGGCCCACCCAGACACGCACCAGTGCTACCGTTCCGTCCGTTCGCGCGATGCTTCGCCCAACAAGCGTGGGAGATGACGTATGTGAACTGTTCGGGCAATGGGAAGAAAACGTTTTTCGCGCCGTAAGCAAGGCCAAGCTTCCCCCTACAGCTCGAAAAGTGCGGCACCGTTTCAACTTGTGGTCGGTGTGTTGAATTCGCCTGCCCAAAACAGCCTAGTCAACGGCACGCGATCTTGTTCTGGAAGAGTTTCAAGCCGTGGCGCCACTGAAATGGAAGAGTTTCAGCCCCTAACTAGAAGCTAGGTCATCAAAGACAGATTTTTCCAGAGCTGACGCAGCAAACAGATTTGGCCAGCATAGACATTTTTTGTGGCTGGAGAAAATCGAACGACAGTGAAAGCGTACCGTCAACGCGGCTTGGCACTCTGCGTCGGGTCTGTGCTGGGAACATCTTCACATTACACCAGAAATGACGTTTCTGGGCTTGAAAAGCCCTCACAGTGGAGATAGGGCAACCAAGATGATGGGTTGCAAAGGGTTCGGACGACAATCATGTCCAGTACGTAATTTTACAACGAGCACACCCAAATTCTAAAAACACGCTGTAGTAGGAGGCTGGAAACAGAGCAATGATTGTGATGGGTGTCGCGCAATGTTTCATTGGTTTGTCCCAAATGACGTGTACGACTGAGCTGGGAGAAGCCGACGAGAAAGACTGATGCTGATCATTTTTCAATAAGAAGCCCACCACGTTATGGAGTCTGTTGCTCATTACATCAATGTAGTCTGTCTATGTTGAAGCATGTGTACAAGCTAGTATGACAAAGGAAATGGCATCACACATCAACACATCCTGCTGCCACGCTGCTTGTAATTTTTCGGATGTGAGGTTTCCCAGTCACCTGTCCTAGTTTTGTTCTGGTGCAGCATAGTGCTTCCAAAAGTCTCTTCAGCGTGTTAGCATCACTCCAATGGCCTTACAGATGCAATGGCATTCTGTATTGTGCGCGCCAGTGTATGCAACTGGAATGGCTTTGTATCATAGCCATCCATGCCAGCGGTCAGGCATTTCTCCTTGTAGCCTTGCATGGCGTGTGCTGTCAACCCAACGATCGTCATGTGACACGTGGTTTGTTGCTGATGATGCTCTGATGCTTGTCCGGTTGAACTAGGTACGGCAGTGGGCAAACTTGAGGCCTCCTGCTGCTCCCACTGTCGGATAGTGCGAGTGGCTTCGATACCATCCATGATAGGCATCTGAGAAGAATTGCCACAGCCATGGGTGACACATGCAGTATTGCAATGGGGGAGGAGGGGGTAGCAAGCAGGCCGGAGGAAATGAACATCTTATAGCATCAACACGCATGGGATAGACAACACAATGACTTGTGCCAACGAATCAAGGGTGGACAAGAGAGGGAGGCGGAGAGATGGATGACTAGAGAGCGAGAAAGAGGAGAAAGAAAGAGTTGACGGAGAAAAAGGGATGGAGACAGGCAGCAGAGAGAGGGAGAGAACAAGTGGGGAGAGAGAATAAGCGGGGAGTGAGAGCATGTGTGGCCAGCGCACCTGAATATCCATGAGCACCACGTCGAATGCGTCATGGGCGGCAGTGACAGCATCCACAGCAGCCCTGCCATCGCCCACCACAGTGACGACAGCGCCTGCCTTGCGCAGCAGGTGCAGTGCCACCTTCTGGTTCACTACGTTGTCCTCCGCCAGCAGAATGCGCATCCCCGATAACGTCTCCACCCCCTCACCCCCCACCGCCACCGCCCTCGCACCTGCCCCTGCTCCCCCCGCTCGGCTTTTTGCCCCTGCCTCAACTGCTGTGCCTCCCTTCCCCAGCGCCGACTGACCAGCCGCTGCAGTGCTGTCCTCGCTGCTTCTGCCACTCCCGGCAGAGGCGGAGGAGAGGCGCGCGCAAGGTGTAGGGGAAAGAGAAGCAGGAGTTGGCGTGGAAGCAAGGGGAGGAGTTTGAGGCTTGTTAGGTCCTAGGTCGTGCATGTGTGATGCAGCTGATGCTGGTGCTGGGGACTGCACAACCAATGCTGCTGCACCCCCTTGTGTTGGGACGGTGTGAGGCAGGGCAGGTGAGCCTGGGAGGATGGACGCAGTGCCTGGGCGATCAGAGGAGGGCGGCGTGGGGAGCGATGGGATGGGGAGTGAGTGGGGTGCTGCACACGAGACAGATGCAGTCACAGTGGTGGCTAATTGGCCAGGGGAGGCAGTGGTGGTGGTGGTGCTGGCGGTGGCGGTGGCAGTATGTGAGGAATGGAGACAGGGAGGGGTGGAGTCACACAGTGTGCCTGGTTGACTTGAGGCAGCAGCAGCAGCCGCAGTAGGCGGGGGTGGGCAATAAGGCGTAGGTGTCACGGCGGAGGCGGAAGGGAGATGAGAGCGAGGAGGCGACGAGGGGAGAGGAGGGGACGGAGAGAAGGCGATCAATAAAGAGGTGGTGGAGGGGGCAAGAGAGGTGTCACCGGGCTGTGGGCAAGCAGGTGGGGATGCATTGTGGGTTTGAGTGGGTTGGGCCATGGAGGAGGCGGGTGCAGCTGGTTGCGTGGAGGGCAAGGAGAAGAAGCGTGCAGTGAAGGTGAAGGTGGAGCCTGCACCGAGCTGGCTGGCCAAGTGCAGTGAGCCGCCCATGAGCGACACCAGACTGGCAGCACAGGCACATGCACGCGCAGGGGACACAGGGCAGAGAGGGATGGGGCGAATGGGAGAGGAGGGTCAGAGTGGGGGCTGCTGGGGCATACAATGCAGTGCGGAAGAGTGGATGCAAGGAAACGTGCACGGGGAGATACACATGCAGGCACATGCATCATGGGTGGTGTGGGCTGAGGAGCATGCTCACTTGTGCACGATGCTGAGGCCCAGTCCAGTGCCGCCATAGATGCGCGTGGTGGAGGTGTCGGCCTGCACAAAGGGCTTGAATATCTCGCCCTGCACCGCTCGCTCTATGCCAATGCCCGTGTCCCGCACCGACACCTGCAGCCACACCTCCTCCCCCACCTCCTCCGCCTCCTCGCCCTCTCCCTCCTCATCTCCCTCCTCTCCCTCCTCCTCCTCCCCGTCCTCTTCCTCCCCGCCTTCTCCTTCCTGGTCGTCCCCTTCTGCCTCCCGTGCAGCCATCCACGGCAGCTTCTGTGAGTCGCCGCACACCTCGGGAGAAGGGGACAGCGCACTGACAGCAGAGCCGGTGCGGGCGTGGTGCGCGCAGGGGTCACCCGGCAGGGACGGCATTGAGAGCAGCGGTGCAGGGCGGTGCAGTGGGGTGGTGGGCCCTTCAAGAGGCACTGATGCAGGGACGGCAGCGCCAAGGAACGGGGATGGTGGGGCTGATTCTGAACCTCCAGCTGCAGCAGAGTGGGCAGCCGAGGGTGGTAGGGTGAACGCCCTGTGTGCCTGGCCTGATGATGGTACCATGCCACTGAGCAACTGTGGTGATGCTGCTGCTGCTGCCGCCTCGCCGTGCAAACAGCCATCGGTATGGCAGCACCTGCCACCATCAGCACTGGCAATGCGCGTCCACGTGCCCACGCTCCTCATGGCCTCTCTGGCAGGCGACGGCCACACACCACTGTCCGCCACCGCACCCCACTCACCGCCCACACCCACCTCCCTCTCACCTACCCCTGATCCACCACCACCGCCAGCAGCAGCGGCGTCGGGCCTGACAGCACTGACCCCCCCAATGAACTCCATGGAGCTGCCCGCGCGGCTGCACAGGTGCCGTGCCAGCGCCAGCACCTCTGCCCGCCCTCGCCCCCGCAGCATCTCCTCCCACCGCGCCGACTGCCCCCCCACTTCCTCCTCTCCCCACGGCTGCACACGCCCCCCGCCATGCCCCTGCACTACCCACCCCGCCCCCCCTGACCCTGAAGCCAAGCGGCGTTTCATCTTGGTGCCTGTGGAGGCGCGGCGCAGCACCACTGCTGCTGCGGGATCCTCATCGTCCCCTGTGTGCCCTGCACTGTCACGCGCGTCCACAGGCGTTGCAGCACTGAGCGCGGAGGTAGGCAGGGCGTGGCAGGAGGAGAGGCGAAACAGCTGTTGCTGGTTGGTGGACGACCCATGGCACGCAGATGATGCCGATGCTGACGCCCATGCAGACGCTGATGCTGATGCTGATGTTGATGCTGATGCTGCCTGCCACTGCTGCCGTCACTGGTGCTGCTGCTGATGCACCTCCGCCTAATGCTGCCCCCAGCCTTGCTTCTCCAGCACCCCACCCGCCCTTGCTTCCCCTGTTCGCCCCTAAGTCCATGCCTCCACTCAAATCACTTGCACGCCCCTCGCTCCTTTCCCCACACCCTGTAGTGAGAGGCACCCACTCCTCGCCTCGCCTCACTCCTCCTCCTCGGCCAGTAGGTCCACGGCCCCTCACCAGCCTGCCCCACTCCGCCGACCACCCCTTCACTCTAAGCTTCTCCGCAGCTGCTGCTGCTCCCGCACTCACCCCACTGTCATGCACAACTCCCCCTTCTTCCCACGCCCTCCCTTCGCCGAAAGCAACAGCAGCAGCAGCAGCAGCAGCAGAGGCAGCACGGTCAGCGGCAGCAGCAGCGAGAGCATCCCGGGAACCAGCAGACATGCACCGGCCAGCATGCCTCAACTGCACCGCTGTGCCCCTTGCCTCGCTGTCACCCGTGCTGGCAGCGGCGCGGGGAGCAGCAGCGAACGGCAGGCGAGCAGAGGGCGGGGGCAGCGGCTGTGAGTGGAAGAGAATACCTGAGTGCGTGTTGCTGTGCTGGTGATGCACGTGCGCATGGCGCTGAGACGGCATGGGATGGGAGGGCGGGTTGGGGGGGAAGCAAGGCGAGGAGGGCGAGGAGGAGATACAGAGCGGCCCACTGGGCTGCGGGCAATGCTCACCGTGCCTCTGTGCCGCCTCCTCTCTCCGCGCCTCCCCTCCAACACCATCACCAGCGTCACCAGCGCCCCCTGTGCCGTCGCCACTGCCTGCCAGCACATCCCCCATCCCTGCCCACTCAGCCCCCAACGGCCCCCCCATTCGCTTCCCCGCTACCAGCAACCGCTGCGACAGGCTGCAACTGGGGGAGGCGCCACCTGCTGTGCCGGCAGCAGCAACAGCAGCAGCAGCAGCAGTGACAGTGGGAGGAGGGGTGGAGGCAGCGGGCATGGGTATGGCAGCAGTGGCGGCAGTGGCGGCGGGGCGAGAGACGTCTGTTAGACGCTGTCTCATGGCGTGCAGGTAGCGTGCAATGGCATGCGGGTCACTGGAGGAGCGGAAGAGCGGCGACGGCACCATGCGCACTGCTGCTGCCGGCTGCCACTGCGGCTTGCCCGCCACAAAGAGAGGCGGCAGGGCAGCGGCAGGTGAGCGTGCGTGTGTGGGAGTGTGACGCTGCCACTGCGTGAGGTCGTGCTGCTGTGTGTGCTGCACGTCTCCTTGCTGCCCGCCTGTGTGTCTCTCATATACCATGTCAGATGCCCTGCCACATGGCTCCCACTCACCCCCTGCACCCCCCGCTGCTGCTGCACTGCATGGTGACCCTCCATCAGACTCTCTGCTAGACGGACTCCTTTCCTTCCCATCCTCACACACGCTTTCCTGCCCCTCCGCCAACCATAAATTACCCGCCTCTAGATCCCCCCCCTCTCCATGCACACTCCTCCCCGCGTTCCCGTCCTCCTCGCGCCCACCCTGAACACTGTCAGCAGCAGCATCACTGCGCACGCTCTCAGCCACAGCAGGTGGAGCGTCTGTGTCAAGCAGGTGCTTGGGGTGGGCAGCGGGGGCAGCGGTGGGCGAGGAGCAGAGGTGCACGGCCACCTCTATGAAGCCCTTGTGCGTGAACTTTATGGCGTTGCCCACTGCCATGCCACCAACGTGCCATGCCATGCCATGCCACACATGCCATGCCATGCCATGCCACCACAACATGCCACAACATATGCAAGCAATAGCATAGCACCATGAACAGCCATACAAAGAGCGGAAGAGACGTGAGACGGGAGCATGAAGCCATGCAGCGGCCAGACAACATGATCCGTGTATAAATATCGTTTCTGTGAGTGCATGACATGAGCGTGGAATCGGGGCTATGTTGCACTATACGCTTAGGAAATTTTACGTTTCACGTATATGCGTTCACGTATAAACGTGAAAACGTGAAACGGGGACAAATACGCGATACGTAAATCCGGGCAGGCGAAAAAAAAAAAGAGAAAAAAATCTGTTGCCGCTGATTCCGCGATCTGCAATTCTGTGAAACCTAATTTTAGATTCGAAACTCGAATGCCCCCCTCCCCTCCCCCCCACCGCACATCACCTCACACCACCTCCCAAACCCAACCTTCCCTTACAAGCTGCTCGCCAGTCGGCGTGAGTACAACAGCGAAGCTCACGCCAAGTTTACTGCTATTGCTAGCAGCGGCGTCGCGTCACTTGCAGATTTTAGCAACCGCAATATTAGGACGATTCTAGCCAACAATTTCGTACTGGCAAAAACCCCACGGGAGTTATCCGCATCAAGTATTGCTGAAGTTCTTTCCCTATAAGCATTCTACCTCAACTGAAATGTTTTTTCCCTGCCCTGGAAAATTTCAACCTGCCCGACGCACCGTATTTTGAGGTTTTTTGTACGCTGGAAATTTGCGTATCGCGTATGTACGATACCGTATAGTTCGTACGCGTTCCGTACGCCATACGCGTATTTTGCAACATAGAATCGGGGGAGGGAAAGGGAGGGAGTCGGTGGGACGGGAGGGGGGGGGACGGGGGGACGAGAGGAAAGGGGGAAGGGAACAGGTCACGCGGTATAAGCACACAAGGTAATTGCAGGAAACATAAGCCGTAACAGTATGCAGGCGAGCATGGCGGCAGAATAGCTGCACTGCATGCCACGCCCCCATGGGCTCTGACCCTGCAGTGAGCAAGAAAGGGAGCGAGCGAGCACAAAGGCTTACCGAGGTTGTTGATGCACTGCTGCAGGCGCATGGGGTCGCCCACGAGTGTGCGCGGCACCTCAGGCGCTATGTCCCACGCCAGGGCCACTCGCTTCTGCGCCGCTTGCACCTGCCACACCACATTCAGGGAGGGGCGTGCGCAGGCAGGGTGAGAGGTCACGTGCGCAACAGATAGGGTGGCATTGGGAGAACAATCCACGCATGCACTGCTGGCAGCGGACGTGAGTGGGGGAGAGAGCAGCATATAAGAGCGAGATGCACACAGGCAGAGACGTTGGTTGAGGCAGTAGCAGGAGGGCGAGTGGTCCGAGCGGCTAACCTGCAGGGCTTGCAGCACGGAGAGCACGACCTCCCGGGGGCGGAAGGGCTTGCGCTGCAGCAGCAGGCGACCGGCCTCGATCTTGGCAACGTCAAGCACGGTGTTGACGATGTGCAGCAGTGCACTGGCGGACTCAAACACCACGTCCAAGTGCGAACTCACGTCACCCACCAGCCGCTGCGCCTCCTCCCACTCCAACCCCGCCCCCCCTCCTGAACCTCCCATGCGCCCCCAAGCAGCTGCTGCTCCTGCGCCCTCCCGTTTGTGCGCATGTTTGCCCTTGGCAGGTGTGGCATGCGCGTGCGCGCCCGTGTGGGGTTTACTGGTGGAGGGGGGTGGGACGAGCAGTGCTTGCAGCGAGGCGAGTGTGTCCGCCGCCACTCGCGTCATGCCCATGATGCCGTGGATGGGCGTGCTGGGGGGGGGGCGGGGGGATGGGTCCGTGGGGAAGGAAGGAACTTGAGAGGACAGGAGGGAGTGGTAGGGGAAAGTGGAGGGCGACGTGGAAGGCGAGGAGGTGGACGAGGGACGGCAGGAGGACAGAGGGGTACTCATTGCGAAATGTGATGAGCATGCCTCATTTGTCTCGCCTCACCGGATCTCATGGCTCATGTTTGCTAGGAACTCCGTCTTTGCCTGGTTGGCCGCTTCTGCTGCTTTCTTGGAAGCCTCCAGCTCCTGGAGGGGAGAGGACGTGGAGGGGGAGAGGACGTGGATGGGAAGAGGGACACGGGTGGACATAGCAAGGGCGTGCATGATGCATGGCGGGGGACAAGACGAGAGACATGTTGGCTAACATGCAAAAGGGAACCACGCAATGCCCGCTGCCTGTGTGCTTGCCTGCGCTCGCCCCCCTCTCTCCACCCCTCCCCTCTCTGCCCCCCACCCCCCTCTTTCTCCCCCCTTTGCGTGCCTGGTTGGTTCTGGTGAGCTGCAGGGTGCGGTGCAGCACTTGCTTCTCGAGCGTGGCGTTCATGGCCCTGAGCTGGCGCCTTAGGCGCCGTGTGTCGCGCACGACAGCGCCCAGCACGACGCCCACGACGGACAGCACGCACACAAGGCCCTGCGCCTGCAGCTCCGACGCCAGGGCTGTCGACCGCTGCAGCGGACCCCACCCACGCGCCGTCGCAAAGCTCGTCAGCGCCGCCACCACAAACACCACGCACGCCAGAAAGCTGGGGGAGGGGAGGGAGAGGGGGAGGGGGAGTGGGGGGGAGGAAGGGGGAGTTGGAGGGAGGGATTGTTGGCGACAGAGGGCAGGAGGGGAAGAAGGGGTGGGTGGTGGTGAGAGCATGGAGAGCATGCATGACAGGGCAGGCGATCATGGCGAGACAAAAGACGACAAATGGGGGGGATTAGGCGGAGGAGTGGGGTGGCGGGCGTACAGGCGGTTGAAGCGCACGGCGGACCACATGAGGAGCGGGAAGAAGAGGTAGGGCAGGGCGACGAGCCACTCCTCTGAGTCGAGCACAGGCGTGAAGAGCAGCAGCAGCAGCACTGCCAACAGCCCCACCAGCACCCCCGCCTCCACCACCCGTAGCATGCGCCACCGCGGGCGCACGCACGCTGATGCTATCACGCGCACGCTGCTCACGCACACGCACAGACAGCACGCACAGCACGCACACAGCACGCACAGCGCACATGGCGCATGGGTTTGAGGTGTGGGGGCAGCGGGGGTGGCGGCAAGGCGAGATGCAGAGGGAGGTGCGGCGAAACGAGGGGAGCGGAGCAGAGTAGAGCGCGCAGCAGCGGGCAGATGCGCGACAGCGACTCAATGCAGCCATGGCAGTGGTGCGGGTGGGGCAGGGGGCAGAAGGCACATGCAGCAGGCGTACCCAGAGCGCCATCCGTGCAGGCGGATGGGGCGCACGATCCAGTGGCGCGCGGACCAGAGCGAGTAGGTGAGCAGCGGCAGGAAGCAGATGACGCCCGCGAAGTCCGCCAGCCACCAGATCACGAACGTCCTGCGCGCCAATGCCATGGCCGCACACGGGGGCATTTCGGGGGCATGCGGGGGCATTCGGGGGCATGCGGGGGCATTCGGGGGCATTCGGAGGCGCACGGGGCACACGGGGTCAGCAAGTTGGCACATGCACGCGCGCACAACATCATGCCCCCTGCTTCTCCACCGTTCTCTCCTTCGCTGCCCCCTACCTCCAAACACCTCCCCTCACCCCTCCCGCCTCGCCTACCCGTCCGATCCCCCCTCCCGCGGCTCTCTATCCTAGTCCGCGCATGCGATGGCGCGCACCTGGCGGAGTCAGCGGCGGAGAGCAGGTGGCAGAGCCCCATGGTGATGGCCTGAACGCCGTTCGCGATCAGCGCGGCGACGGTGGTAACCACCATCATCTGCACCACGTCCTGCGCGCTATCCAGCGGCGTCGTCTCCTCGTACACCCGCGTTTCCTCTCCCTCCCCCCCAACCGCCTCCCCAAATGCGCCCCTCTCCTCGTCCCCCCAGCTCCGCGTCTCCGCGTCCTCCGCGCCTTGCTTGCCAGTGCAGCATACGCGCGCGCCCCCCACCCGACTGCTACCGCCTTCCAAGTCACAGTCATCCGCCGCTAACACGCTATCCCCGCGCTCTGTGGCGGGCGCCGCCGTGCACGCGCGCGGAAGGAGCGCAGCAGCAGCGGCGGCGAGCGCAGCGGCGGGCTGGCGGATGAAATGCGCGGCGACGACGGCCTGCATGGAATTGGTGAGCGACAGCACCGCGCCCGCCGTCACTAACCCCCACGCCGGCGCGTCGGGCTGCGCCGTGGCGAACCAGAGATTAAATAGCAGGTTCCCGATAAATAGTCCCACCGCGCACCGAGGCCCGAGGCACTGGTCGATGGTTAGACAGCCCGATGGAGGGGGAAAGGGGAGGGGGGAGGGGGGAGGGATGGAGAGGAGGAAAAGAGGTCGCACAGAAGGGAGGAAATCTTTGGGGTGAGTGTGGAAAACGGGGAGATGCGAGTGGAGGGAGCGTGTTGAAGCGTGGTGAGGAGAAGGACTTACGAGACTGGCGAAATAGGCAAAGCCGGTGGGTAGCCACACGGTCGAGAGCTGGCCTTGCAGCCGCAGATTGCAAATCGCAAACTCCATGGCTCCGAGGCTCAGATAACCAAGTGTTGCGCCGGCCGTTAATAGCAACTGCATGTGCCATGGCCACTTGTGCATCATCCATCTCGCAGGCCACCACGACACTTCTGCCTTGCCATCCCCGTCACGCGCTGAAGCCGCAGGTCGCGCCTGTTCGCCTCCAAAGCTGGCATTATCGCGCATGGCCTGGTCTAAGGGAACGTTTACCGAACCCTCTGGGCGTTCTGCCGAAGCGCCTTCAAGAGTATCCTCTGCTACGCGTCCCATGGTATCAGTCACCAGCTGACTCATGACGGAAAGTTCCTCGTGCGCTCAGACACCATGGACAATCCATGCAACAAAAGAACAGCCATACACACAGGCAGAAGAAATGAGGAGCGAGAAAACTGGCTCTAGTTTTGGCTGCTCCGTTGTGATGAGGTGGTAGGCAGTGCCAGGAAACCGAACAGGAGCTTGAGGTGACGGTTTTGACGGACTGGTGTCCTGTGCTGTGACCTGTCCTTGGCTTGTGGGGAAGATTTCATTGAAGGGGGGCACTTTTTGTGGGGCTGGCATGTCACTCCTGCTGGGCAGCCCTGATCCAGCCCACACCAGAACCGGAAATTCGGTTGAGCACAAATCCCTTCCAAACAGCACTGTACTGCAGTGAGCCGATTGGGCTGTAAGTGTGGGGCTCAAGAGGGGGGACCTGGCGCTTCTAACTGAGGTTTCACGTGCAGAACAGTGCCGAAAATGTTCCCCAAACTTGGGTGTGTATCTGGTAAAAAATCATCATTTCTTGGCTCTTGGATTCATCGAATTTCGGATTGCACTTTTTGCCTTCAGCGTTTCGGTTGTTCCATGCCGTTGATATGTCCTTATCCATCGCCCATTTCGTCAACCTGGTCGTTAGCTGGCCCTTGAGGACACCGCCGCCAAGGCAGCCCTTATTTCAAGTGGTACAGTTGATGCTCAGCCTATCACAAAAATTTGCTTATAACTATTAGAAAATTAGTCACTCGCGAACGTTTTCCCTGTGAGTGGTGATTGTGCTGATTTCGGGTACAGTCACCAAGTTGCGGAAGAAAAACATCTACAGTTCATAAACAACAGCGATTGCCCGTCATCAGAATTGTTTACCTGGTTACGAACTTAAACCCCCGGACTCGTTTCACATTCCAATTTCATTTTACAATCACAATTTTGCCCGTGGCGACAAAGGCGGACATGACGAAATGCTCAAACTCGTTTTACGCACATGCCGCCCGCCTACCTGGTGTTCTTGAAATGAGCACCGACTGTAGCTTTGCTTTCGTCCTCTTCGAAGGGCTGTGCAGGTGTAGCTGTGTTGCTCCAGCTACTGCATCAGATGGGACCACAAATATTAGCAACTTGCCTATAACGACTTCATCCAGGCTAAAGTTTGTCTACCTATCTGAACAACACGCATTCCAGAGTTGGGTTCAGTCTGATTAACACTGAAATATAAAAGCCTGAAACTGATGAAAAAAACTGTGAGGTGAAATCTACCCAGCCTAATTCAAGGCCGTAAATACTCATGGTATGGTGAATCAGAATTAAGAGTTGAGAAGTATGTAGCAAAAACAAGCATATGAATGAATAGCCTGGCTGCAAAACACCTCGGGATATTGAACTTGGTTGAGATTCACTGTGAGGATGCCTAACAAAGTATACTTCTATGATGAGTTTGGAGCTTTCAATTTACATAAAGTAAAATTATTTCGTAGCAAGCTGCTACACGCCAGGCATGCATTGTATCGTTCCGATCTCTTTGAGCGGGAAACTACAGCAATGAAGTCATGTAATTGGTTTCTTTTATAGTGTTGAATTGGAAATTAATGAAGCTGGTATTGTAAATCCTTACGGAGAACCTCACATGAGCTTCAAAGTTTCGATGGGGCATGGAGCATTAGCTAGGATTACCGCTAAGACAACCCACATGTGAGTGTACCTCGAAACCAGATTTCATCCCACTGCGCTGATACTAAGTTATCGGGAACGCTCTTTGCAGAGACGTTGATCTCTGTGATTCTATCCTTTCGGAACCGCTAGTTTGCTTTATTCACGAATCAGGACACGACTAGAAGATGGTCACTGTCACATGTCCATGTAGTCACACTTCCATACGAGCCCAAGCACCGAGCTACAAGCCTCGTCGTCAGTCGCAGTGTCACATCAGCAAGTTCCCACCCCCAACCGAACCGAAACACCACCTCTCTCCCGTGGTGCTGCGGTATTGCCGACCACGTGTGTGAAATTACAGTATAGCGCGCATACCCCACCAATCCCAACCCAAACCAACTGTCGCATCACGTGTATCGCGCGGAGCGACAGACTTCTCTCGTCGTCAGTCGCTCAGAGTCACATCCCCTACTGCGCCATGACGTCCTTCGTGGTTCCCGAAGTTTATGCACTCCTCATCACCGCTCCAGACCCTACTCAATCTTGTGGTTCTTGACACCAAGCTCAGTCAGTGTCGTCTCATTCCACTCCACTAGACACTAAATTGCCCTCTCCCTATACTCAAGCCTCTCATTTTCCTCCATTTCTTCAACTCGCTAGTTACTGCCACCATGACTCTCCCCAAGCGAGCGTGGTCGTCACTAGGTCCTGCGACTTCCCTCGGACTCCTCCTCATCGGCACCTCTCTCTTGCTTGCCGCTGGAGCCGACGATGGTACGAGCATTTCTTCTCTCCCGTTTCGCCGCATCCGTCTCAAGAGTGCAGCGTAGTGTTGCGGTCCGAACAATACACATGTGTACCAACTATGCTAGAATATGAACGTCGCAGTTTGCGCACAAGTGCGATGACAAGAGTCTTGACATAAACAAGGTGAAGGTTCAAAACAAACTGTGATCGGATTTAACAAGCCGTTGAACGAATCCCATCCTTTCTCACTCTGTGTTCGACCACCTCCCATGACGTTCACAATCCAAATGCAGGAACGCTGCGGATTGACTGCGGCAGCGTGGTCGAGAGCGGTGTGGCAGCGGCAGCGGGATTCACGGCGGACCAATACACCTCGGACGGCACGCCCTTCACCATCGCGCCTGGCTCCACCAACGTCGCCAATCTCACCGCGTCGCTCTCCCCTGCTGAGGTTACGGGCCGCGCCTTCTCCAACACCACCGGGGGTTGCTACAAAATCCCGCGCGCCACTGGCACCTACTTAGTGCGGCTCGGCTTCGCGTACTTAAACTTCGACAAGCAGGGAAACCCGCCCGTGTTCAACGTGACGGCTCAGGGCGTGCCAGTCCTGACGATTAATATGCTGACGGCGGAAGGGATGCAGGATAATCAGACGGCGAAGGCGGCGACGGCGTACTATCGCGACTTTATGGCGTTCACAGATACGGGATTCCTGGACGTGTGCCTGGTGCCCTTCTCGTCGTCCGTGCAGCCTGCGTTCGTCCACCCCATGGATGCCATCCTCACCTTCCCCCCAGACACCCAGTCGCGCACTCCGCTGCTCAACACTCTCGAGGTCTTCCCCACGCCCAGCACCGTGTACCAGGGCTTGCCCAAGGAAGCCGGCGTGATTCTCGCGAACGCCATGCGCGTCAACATCGGCGGGCCGACGGTCGGGCCGGACATGGTGGGGCGCGTGTGGAGCGCGGACGACCGCACGTTCCTGCCGCGGAGCTTCCGCGCGACGAACGCGACGGTGAACAACACGGACGACCCGGACAACTACTGGCCGCAGAGCATGCTGCGCTCGTACCGCGAGTCCATCAACGTGGACAAGCAGGCGGGCACAGAGATACAGTACTCGGGACTGGTGGTGCCCATGGACCCTAGCAACCTCTTTGTCGTCATCCTCAACTTCATGGAGCCCAACTCCACCGTGAAACGCGGGCAGCGCGTCATGGAAGTGCAGCTGTCGTGGGGCGACGGTCAAACGCTCGCCATCGGGCCCCCGCCCGACGAGCTAGACATCGTCAACTTCACGCAGCCGCTGACGGCCATGGCCGTGAACCACGTGGTGGCCATGGAGAGCCCCATCTCGTACTTCCAGAGCGTCGCTGTGACCCTCTTTGCCAGCAACAAGAGCCTGCCCGCCGTGATCAGCGGCATGGAGGTGTATGAAGCCATCCCCATTGCCCCGCCTCCCCCGCCTGCTGCTGCTGGCGCTGCTGCTGTCCCCCGCGCACACCGCCCAGTTTCACCCGCCATGACGCTAACAGCGGAGAAGGCGCAAGTGCTGTCCCCTCCTCCGCCGCCTCCTGCGACCAGCAGTGGTGAGCATGGGCTGCAGAAGAGACTCAACAGCGTTGCCCACATGCCCTCATTCCTGCCAGGCGATCACGACCACTGTGCTTGCGCTGCTTCTTGTGCTCATTGTAACTCAGCCTGTGCCATATCTCGCACCTGCACCCACCTTAATCTGCCTGCTGCGAATCCTAATTCCATCCCCTTTTTCATCCCATGGCAGGTCTGTCTGCTGGAAGCATTGCTGCCATCGTGATGGGTGTGCTGCTGGGTGTGGTGCTGATTGCAGGGGGCGTCTATTTTGTCGTCAAGCGCAAGCAGAACCCAACGCCTTTCACCAAGTTTGGTTAGTGTGTCGATTCCTGCGCTGGTTCACTTACCGAATCATGCCATTTCAGCTTTCTGCTCTCCTGATCCTTGCTCTCATGCCACATGCAACCCTACTTAGTCGTGTGCAGTGTCTCCCGTCACCCCTGTCTAACTGCACAGATCATGATGCTGGTACAAATGCCAACCTGGTCGTTTGAAGAAGCATGTGGCTCCTGAAATTTGCAGTCAAGGTGCCATAGTACTGCCTCGTTTGTGTGTGTAGCCATAGTAGTATGGGTAAAACGTGGCGTTCTGGGAGGTTTAACGTAGGCCATGTAGCCCCTTCAGTTCCACAATACTGTGCCCTGTTAGTGTTTGTCAGCCATGCTGTGCTTCACAATCACCTTGTGTCTGAAATAATCGATTGTGAGGTAATGTGGTATGGTATGAGGCTGATTGTGAAGTACATTATACATATGTACTAGTTTCTCTTCTACTGCGTCCTTGTGTTGAGCTGAACTGTTTAAACCATAGAATGGTACCAGTATATTCTTTGCATCCTTTGACAAAAGCTGTGCTCATGAGTCAGCAGCATTATTACGGTAGACAGACATGACAGGTATGTACTGTTCAGCCGCCAGACATGTGGAGAACATGATACAAGGTTGTGATTAAACACGGTATGAATCATACAACTACCGGTAGTCTGACATTTTTAACACCCCAGAAGTTCCTTTTAAAGCCCGAGTTCCACATGGCAAAAACTCCAAGTTTCCTGAACTTGAAACAGGGTTAGCGAGAGGGAGCAGAGGCGTTTTTCGTTGAACCAACCCAGGCGAACCACTATGAGAGCAGCGAAATGAAGGTACTACTCGCCACACTCAGATTGGCCTGCGTTCTCTAGGGTTGACCACGACTACACGAAAAAGACTAAGGCGACCATTCTGTCGCCTTAGTCGGTACAGAATCGCAGCCAATCCTGTGAAATTGAACAAGATGAACCGCATCGCATCCACACAACGAGGGAGTGAAGAGGGAATAGGGGGGTTACAGTCCGGTGAAATGTTGATATGAACCAACCGAAATGTCTGGTAGGTAGGTATTTGACACCAACCACGACAGACCTGAAGAACCTGCAGCCTCTCTAAACGTCCTCGATGAACCACTGAAGCATGGCAGACCACGGAATCGTGACGACTACCAACCAGAATTGATAATAGGCAGGAGTAGGCACGAAAGTTTGTCGCGACGCGCTGGCACGTTGACGCCGCGTCGCAGGAGATGTCAACATTGTAACGCGACGTACATGGTAGGAACTGCATAGCACGACTTCCACCGGAGGAAAGTAGTTGGCGTTCCAGGAATTCAGAGCATACGTCGGTGTATGATCGAGATGAACAAGTTGATTTCGGTCGGAACCGATCATTACGTATTCAATAGGAGAGTTTGCTAGGGCCTGTAGTGCCTGAAGGGTGTAACAGCTAGGCCCAGACTTTGCGGCAATAAGCTTCGGAAGGGCGACCACGGGCTCCGCCGTTGAAAAGCCGGAAACGAAGCCCGGTAGGGAGACATACGAGTGGTGAACGGAATACGAGGGCAATGTATTACACTACAATTCGACGGCGGCACCCATCTGTAAGAGATGATACTTGCAATCTAGAGCGGCGGTTGTAGTGTTGTCTCGGTCAAGCTCACGTTTTAGTGGCTGTCGGCATCGCCAACACAAACAGATGTCGACGGACTGCTATAGGCGAGCGTGAATTCGGGAGCTTTTGCAACAACTATCACAGCCACGGAGTCAACCTGAGGTCCGTCCCGCATAGCGCATGCGCGCCATCGCCTTGTTGCTATAGTGCCAGGCGTCACTGCTATCCAAGTCACAGCATGCGGCGTCACTGCTGTCCAAGTCACAGCATTCGGGACCACTGCTGCTTGTGTTACAGGATAAGGTCACTGCAAAGCACGTCATAGCGAGCAGTGTCACCGCTGCTCATGGCACACCTCACTGCTGCACACGTCATAGCGTGTGGTGCCACCGCTACTTAGGTCCCATCATATGGTGCTGGCGTCACACGTCATAGCGTGCAGTGTCACTGCAGCTCATGTCAATCATAAGGTCACACCTCCACACGTATGAACGTGCGGTGTCACTGCTGCATGTGCTCACATCATATGGTCACTCCTGCTCATGCCACGGCATCATGTATCTGCTGCTCACGTCAAAGCATGCAATGTCTACTGCGAGCGTCACAACAAGAGCCGACACTGCAGCCATGTCAAAACATACGGTCACTGTTGGTTCGTGTCACAGTATCTCAACAATGCATGTGCTCACTCCTGCTCCTGTCACAGCTTCATATAACTGCTGCTCATGTCACAGCTTCATACAACTGCTGCTGGTGTTACAAAATGTTGGGTCTGCTGCTGGCGTCACAGTATGGAGCAACACTCCTACCATGTCACAGCATAATGTCTCAGCTCGTTATGCTCTACTCACAGCGTATGTCCGCCAACATCAAGCATCATAGCGTGCAGTGTCACTTCAGCAAATGTCACAGCATGGCAGGTTTGCTGCTGCTCATGTCAAAGCATGCAGAGTCTGCAAGGAGCGTCACAACATGAACCGACATTGCTGCCATGTCACAGCATAGGGTTACAGCTCTGCAGTTCAACGCACCATACCACTGCTCTGTGATTTCACAGCATCACATCACTCTACTCATGCCACGTTATGTAGTGCCTGCTGCAGGCGTCAATAAGATTACTCAACAATGCTGCCATCTCACAACAAAAGATCAATGCAGCGCTGGTCACAGCATCTCATCACTGCTTACTCTTGTCTCCATAAGTGCTCACTCCTCCTCGTGTCACAGCATCATATCACGTTGGCGTGTGTCAAGGCATGTAGTCTCTACTGCTGGCGTCGCAACGTGACCCATAAGGTAGCTGCTGTTTATGTCACAGCATCTCATCGCTGCTTTTATTGCCTGAGCATGTGCGCACTCCTGCTCGTGTCACGGCATCATATAACTGCTGCTCATGTCAAAGCATGCATCGTTTACCTCTTGCGTCACAACATGTGCCAACACTGCTGCCATGTCAAAGCCTAAGGTCACTGTTGTTTCGTGTCACAGTATCTCAACAATGCTTTCTAAACCTTCCTGTCACGGGAACAAATAACTGCTGCACATGTCACAGCTTCATATAACTGCTGCTCATGTCACAACTTCGCATAGCTGCTGCTCATGTCACAGCTTCAAACTGCTGCTGGCAAACTCACATGTTGTAGGGTCTGCTGCTGAGGTCATAGCATGAGGCTACACTGCTGCCAAGTCACAACATAGATCTCTTCGGCTTATGTCGTAAAAATCTGATTGGGGACCTATATGTCACAGCATGTGCTCTCTCCTGCTAATTTCCTAGCATCATACCACTGCTGCTCTTGTCACATTACGTGCTCACTGCTGATCATGTCGTCACCATGTGCTCATTGCTGCTTATGTAACAGCTCGTGGCCTCTGCCACTGATGTTCCTGTATGAGAATTCTGATGCTCGTTCCAGAGTGTGTCGCCATTGCTCTGCATATCACAGCATGTGCTCACCTTTGCTCTGTATACATCTGTTGCCCATAACGAATCCGCCTCCCATCATGGTGTTGTAGTTTGCTACTCATGTCGCAAGCGATAAGTGCAGGGTTACATGCGGCAACGCAAGCATGCAAAGATGCAACGACGGGAAGCGTGAACATATCGCGGCACATGCGACCGTTACTGTGCGTGTTACGCGTGGGGTTGTCCGCCTTGTTTGCTGGCGAGAGGGGGGCGACGCCCGACGACGTGATACACTTCTTAGCGGAGGCAGCACCTGAGGCTACGTCACGGCTCATCAGGGCTGGCCTAGCCGCTGGTGAGTTGGCTTATTGATGGAATGTCACATGCGTGTTAGGAATTAGCGCACAGTTGGCGACTTTTAAAGTGTGTGCAGTTGGGGTCTTGAAAAGTGTTCGGGCATTCTTTGCACGCGCGCCTTGGTCCATTCTCTGCTTGTCTGTGGGAGAGAGGGGAGTGGGGAGGGGAGGAACCATCTGCACCCATTCGAACCCATCTCACCTCTCAAAGGGAGGTCCATTGATGTCAAACTCGTCTGGCCCTTCTTCGTACATCACCACTGCCTGCTCTTCTGTGGGAGGGGGGAGGAGGAAGAGAAATGTGAGGGGAACGAGGAAGGGGTGGGGTTGCGATGTGAGAAGGCAAAGGAGAGGTGCATTGATGTCAAACTCGTCTGGCCCCTCCTCATACATTACCACTGCTTGCTCGTCTGCATGACAGGGGAGAGAGGGGAGGGAGGGATTCAAGGCGGCGGGGGATGAGAGGACAGGGGGATGAGAGGACAGGGGGATGTGAGGACAGGGCAATAAAAATACAGGGGGATGAGGACAGGGGGATGAGGACAGGGGGATGAGAGGACAGGGGGATGAGAGGACAGGGGGATGAGAAGATTGGGGGGTGAAAAAACAGGGGGGTGAAAGAACAGGGGGATGAGGACAGGGGGATGAGGGGACAGGGGCAGGAGAAGATAGGGGACAGGGGATGAGAGGACAGGGGATGAGAGGTGAAGGGGATAAGAGAACAGGGGGATGAGAGGAAGGGAAGATGGGAGGACGGGCTGATTAGAGGTGGGGAAGATGAGTGGTCTTGAGGAGGAAGAGGAAAAGGGTGGATGGGGGAGAGTCTAGGGGGAAAGAGGGAGAAAGAGAGGGATGAACGAAGGAGGAAAGAGTGTGGCTGGGTACAAGTGGGATGGTGAAAGGGCGAAACGGATGAGCAGGGTTGGAGTGAGGAAGGGACACGGAGAGTGGGAGATGGATAGGGGAAGGGTGACTGGATCGAGGGAAGAAGAGGAGATAAGAGTATGGCAGGACGGGAGGACGGGAGGAAGGGAGGGACAGAGGACGGATGGCAAAGAGGGGAAAGAAGGTAGCGAGGTAGAGAGTGTGGGAGAGATAGAGGAAGGGCGGAGAGAGAGGGTAAGGAGGACGATTGTGGGGGAACGACGGGCAGGAGTAAGGGGGGAGGTCAATCGGTGAAAGTGTGGCAGGGTATAAGGGCGGAACGGGGGATAGGAGGATACCTGCAACCTCTCTCCCTAGCCTCCGCCTCCCCTGCCCCGCCTCCCCTGCCAACCTGCCCCCGAACGTGGGGTATGCAGGCAACGTGG